TTTTTTTTTTTTAAAACGTTTTTATTTCTTTCTAGGAGAGAGAGAGAGACAGCGTGAGCAGGGGAGGGTCAGAGAGACAGGGAGTCACAGACTGAAACAGGCTCCAGGCTCTGAGCTGGCAGTCAGCACAGAGCCCGACGCGGGGCTCGAACCCACGAACCACGGACCGCGAGATCATGACCTAAGCGAAAGTCGGACGCTCAACCGACTAAGCCACCCAGGCGCCCCAACCTCACTATTTTCTGTTTATCCCATCTGTTTTTTATTCCTCGTTTCCTGCCTCCTTTGGGTTATTCAGATAAATTTACTATTCTTTATTTAAAAATTTTTAAAAATGTTTTTATTTATTTCTGAGAGAGAAACACACACACACATACAGCGTGAGCGGGGGAGGGTCGAAGATAGACACAGAATTGGAAGCAGGCTCCAGGCTCTGAGCTAGCTGTCAGTACAGAGCCCGACTTAGGGCTCGAATTCGCGAACCGTAAGGTCATGACCTGAGACGAAGTTGGACGCCCAACCACGTGAGCCACCCAGGCACCCCTAAATTTAGTATTCTTTTTAAATTTTCTTTATTGTACTGTTTTACTCTTTACACTTCATCCTACATGTGTAATAACCTCTTACAAGTATATTCTATTTACCCTTCATCCTTTGTGCAATTATATATTTCACTTTTACATGCTATAATCCAATTTTACATTGAACTAATTTTAGCTTGTAGTCTTTTGTCTTTAAAGGCAATTGAGTAGAAAAGTAGAAATATTTAGCCACCATTTTTGATGCTTTTCATTTCTTTCTGTTGGTCTGAATAGCAGATTTACTGTTGAAAAATTCTCTTAGCTTTGATTTATCTAAAAATCTCTATTTCAGCTTACTTTTGTGGGTTTTTTTTTCTGGATATGCAAGTGGTTTGATAGGTTTTCCATTCAGTGTTTTAAAACTGTCATTCTGTTGTCCATTGGCCTCCAGTGTTTTTGATAATGTCAGTCATATTTATGTTTTCTTTCCCTGTATGGGATAAATTGTCTTTCTGTATCTGTTTTTGAGAGTTTTTTCTTTAACTCTGGTGTTCAGCAGTAGGCTTATGATTTTCCTATGGATAGTTTCTTTTCAGTATTTTTTCTACTTTGTTCTCTTCCCCTCTCAGAGGAAGAAATTATTCCCTCTTCCAGAATGTGATTGCATGATTAGATAATCTCAAAAACAAGCTGAATCCTCAGACTTCCTAATGACCTTAGTTAGGATGGATTGAACCTTAAACTTTAACCATCTCCATCTTAATGGAGGTAATGTGAAGTACAATGGGAAATGATGGTCTTTGGTCCTTAGAAAAGCATAAAGAAATGTGCCTTAATATAAAGTAGGCTCTTTTTTTTTTTTTTTTTAGTGTTTATTTTTGAGAGTGCATGCACGCACATGTAAGCGGGGGAGGGGCAGAAGGAGAAGGGGACCGGGGACCAAATGGGTCCTGTGCTGACAGCAGAGAACCCAGTGCACGGCTTGAAGTCATGAACCGTGAGATCATGACCTGAGCCAAAGTTGGACGCTTAACTCACCGAGCCACCGAGGTGCCCCAATATAAAGAAGTTTCTAAAGATAAACCTGTCCTGACTCAAAAATTTGTTTCTTCACAGGGTCTCTTCCATGCGATAAAAAACAGAAGAATAATAATATGAAATGTTTAACTTCATATGAATATATTAGTTTTTAAAGAGTTAATACTGGTTAGCTTAATTGATTACAGTTTGATATGTTACCAGGCTAATTAATTTTTTTCTATCCTCTGTAAGTCTAGCTTCCATTGCTGATTTATGCTATTGATTATAAAGAGGTTCAGGGAGCTCAGTATAGATCTTCATCTCTGTTTTTAAAAAGCTGAAGGTTTATGGAGAGCCTGGGTGGCATCTGACTTTCGCTTAGGTCATGATCTCGCGGTTCGTGGGTTCGAGCCCCGCGTCAGGCTCTGTGCTGACTGCCGGCTCAGAGCCTGGAGCTTATTTCAGAGTCTGTGTCTCCCTCCCTCTCTAACTCTCCCCTGCTCATGCGCGCGCTCTCTCTCTCTCTCTCTCTCTCTCCCCCCTAGAAATAAAATATTAAAAAAAAAAAAAAGCTGAAGGTTTAAGTAGCTTGCCTCTTGGCAAAGACATTATGTACCAAAGAATCATTTGTTGTAAGAGTTCTGTTTTATTTTTATTTTAGAGAGAGAATGCTTGCGCACAAGCAGGAGGAGGGACAGAGAGAGAGGGAGAGAGAGAATCTCAAGTAGCCTCCACACTTAGTGTGAACCCTGACTCAGGGCTCGAGCCCATGACCCTGGGATCATGACCAGAGCTGAAATCAAGAGGCAGACCCTCAACTGACTAAGCCACCCAGGCGCCCCAGATGTTTTATTTTAGTGTTTATTTTTTAACTGTAATCTTCACTTTTTTAACGGGATAAAATTACTATACATTTTTGTTTTCTTTTGTTAACAGAATAAATTTAAACGTGAAGAGAAAACAAATGGATGGAGAATAGACAAAGCCTTCCGTAAGTATTGAGACATCTTTTATAACGTATCACTTGGAGATCTTAAAAAAGGACCAGACTTTGGTTCCACTGTGTTTTAGATTTGTGTTTTCTCATTATTTGTCATAGGAAGAATGAGACTGTACATTTTTCTCTTCAGCAATGCAGGTCTGGCAACTGATAACAGGTCTATAGGCAAGGAGTTAGCTAAAACATCAAGAAGCAAGTAAGCAGAGTTCTGAGTTCCAGAAGTTATAGAGGGACTGAAGGCACCATTTCTACGTGTTTTATGTTTTGAGGGAACTATTCAAGAAGGAATTGTTTCTGGAAGAACTTTATACTACAGTTTCAGTTAATATTACTAAACACCTGCTAAGAGATATTTACTGTTGTAGTATGGAGGATATAATGGTGAGCACTGCAGATGAGAGGTCTGCTTGCAGAGCCTTAAGTCTAACTGGATGTGGAAAAGGATAAAGTTAGTAGGCCTGGTTAATTGCCTATTGTGATTAATTTCCAAGAAGAAAAAAGGGAGTGAAAAGTAGATACGTAGATTGGGTAATCAGGGAAGTTTTGTCTGAAGAGGTGGCTTTTGAATTTCTAGCTGAAGGAATGAGATATGTTTTTCAGCTGTTAAGCAATTACTTCATCAAAGTTAACATTTTTTCTTTTCAAGTCCAGAGAAGAATATCAAGGGATCTGTACCAAAAAACCCAAAATTAAATGCATTGTTTAAAATAGTACCTGTAGAGGCACCTAGCTAGTTCAGTCAACTTTTGATCTTGGGATCATGTGTTCAAGCCCCATGTTGGGTGTAGAGATTACTAAAAAAAATAAACAAAAATAAAAAAAATAGTACCTATATTCTTTGTCTGAAAGATAATTACCAATGTTTCCTGATAAACGTATTCAGTGGCCACTTGCTGTAGTGCTAATCTTCCGAAAAAACCTAAAGAGAGGATTGATTTTGTATAGCATGTGTCTTTACCTCATGAGTAGACATCGAGATGAGTGGACTCTACTCGCACTGTTGTATTGGGTCTTTAGGGACAGCACTTCAAGAAAAGCTCCTGGAAGATCTGGAGTATTTTGGTCTTAAACCTCTCTATTTTGAAGAGGTGGTCCTGAAACTGTTCATTATGTTCAGTGCATTGTAATCAGAAAAGAATCTGTAAATCCGTAAAGTCTTTATGGGGTATGGAGCCATTGTTAAAGCTATTATAATAGATTATTTTATTTTATTTAAAAACTTTTTAATGTGTATTTTTGAGAGGGAGAGAGAAAGGTGCAGACTGAAAGCAGGGGAGGAGCAGAGAGAGAGGGAGACACAGAATCAGAAGCAGACTCCAGGCTCTGAGCTGTCAGCATAGAGCCCAACGCAGGGCTCGCACTCATGAACTGTGAGATCATGACCTGAGCTGAAGTTGGATATTTAACCGACTGAGCCACCCAGGTGCTCCCATGGCTCTCTCTGATGTAAGGACATTGATGGGTATTTAATGAGAGTGGTGCTAATCAGTATTCATTTGCTTCCCTCTTCACTGATATTTGGAAGAGTAAATAGTGAAAGGGTTGTGATGAAGAGAGGACATTTGACGGTGGAGAGGCTTTTGAGAAATTAATCATCTAGTCTTTTCTTAAAGTTGATTTGTGATTTATACACAGTGTAATTTATAGTTAGAGTTTTGATATAGGGTAACCTGTGTAACCACCACCCAAAACAATGTATGACATGTTTTCTTCGATCCAGAAAGGCCCCTTGTGTCCCTTGCTAGTCAGTCTCTACAGCTGTCCTGATGCAGGACAACCACTATTTTGATTTGAATCACCTTAGGTTAGTTTACTTGTTCCAGAACTTCTGGTTCATGGAATCATGCAGCATGTGCTCTCTTATGTCTGACTTCTTTGAGTCAGCATTTTGAGATTTACCCATAATATTGCTTATGTCAGTACATGGTTGGTTTTTTATTTTTTTGACTAATGTAACGTTCCTATTTATTGCTTAGTCTTCTTTTGTGAGACTGTACTACAGTGACTAGAGTTGGCTATCCATTCTCCTAATAAGCCCATTTGCTTTTGATGTCATGATACTTAACTTGAAAAATCTTTTTCTTTTTTTTAAAATATGCACTTGAAGGTTCTTTTTCTCTTTTTTTAAACAGAGGAAAAGCGCCCTTTTGACTTCGATTTTTTCGCTCATTTGCTTCAGAAAGTTCTTGCTGAAGAAGAGAAAAGAAAACAAAAATCTGCTAAAAATCAGAGTTCAAAGGAGAAGAAATCTTCTAAACCACGGAAAAATGTAAAAGGTATTTTAAAAGAAGTGTGTTCTGTTATTTAATGTGATACATTTGTAATATTGTCCCTCAAGTCTTCGAGCATTCCTCTGTAGTTCAGGAAGTTGCGATCATCAGGACATCCATTTCGGGAGAATTGCTTTTTCCTCAGTCTTCCAGTTTTCTGGCCTAAAATGGTACTCCATTTTAAATTTAGTAATTTTCATGGCTGGGCTATTTGACATCTTTCTTGCTTCTAGAGAGTAGTTGTAGCTAATAAAAAGAGCACTGGAATTTGGGGGTATCATGTTTGGTTACTTACTATCATTTTCCTTTGTGAAACAGACCTGGCCCAAAGTTCTAATATTGAAAAAAAAATGGAGCTACCAGCAAAGCTTGTTAGAAAGTCAGTGTCCAAGGTTTTAATTGGAGGGAGTCATGTAGACACCCTCTGCCTGGCACATATCAGAATCTGGAAATCCCAAAATGAAAGCAGTTGTTCAGCATAAACCGTATTGTTTGTATAGACATTTTAGGCACACCGAACCAGTTTTGTCAGGCTAGTGTGAATCCTCCCCAAGCCTAAGTTTCCAGACACAGCCTACAGGCCAACCTTCCAATCAGGCCTTTCAGGGGATAGCTGTGAGGCCTGCCTGCTACATGAATTCTCTTCTGCACAGAGCAGTACAGCATTTCTCTTCCTGGAGCATGATGTCTCTACCTTTTTAAAAATAGTGTTGGTAACTATAAAAATATTTCATTTTTTAGTCATTTTTTAACTTATATATGGCCCTAGGAGATTAAAATAGTTATATTAACATGATAATTATAAGTGATATAAATAATGCGTTGTGTCTTACTGTGAGAACTTTTTTTTAGGTGTTTTATTAAAAGTCTCAGAATTTAAAAAATGCTGATTATTATTCTGATAGAAAATCCAGCGTTTTCGGTTGTAAAATCTTGTTTTGACTTTTTTTGAAAAGTAAATGATGTTGAATTTTTTTTTTTTTAATGTTTTATTTATTTCTAGGAGAGAGAGAGACACACAGCATGAGCAGGGGAGGGTCAGAGAGAGAGGGAGTCACAGACTGAAACAGGCTCCAGGCTCTGAGCTGGCAGTCAGCACAGAACCCGACGCGGGGCTCGAACCCACGAACCGCGAGATCATGACCTAAGCGAAAGTCGGACGCTTAACCGACTAAGCCACCCAGGCTCCCCTAAATGATGTTGAATTTTATTGTTTTTTAAGATTAGATTTTTTTAAAGGATAAATATTGTTAGAGAAGATCTCTTGATGGATGATGATTGTGAAGTTGTTTGCTTTTGGTTGATATCTCCATGGTGATTTCTCTTGTTTTTTTTTTTTTTTTTCCTTTTTAATCTTATATATTGTTTTCATCTTCTGATGCAGTTGACTATCAATGTGTCTTCATTAAAAGGGCATCAGAAATTGTTAAAAAATATGTTGTTGTTTTTTTTTTTTTTTTGAGGGGGGAAGAGAGAAAGTGTGAGTGGGGGAGAGGGGCAGAGGGAGAGAGAGAGAGAGAGAGACAGGGAGAGAGAATCTTAAACAGGCTACACATTCAGTGGTGAGCCCCAAGTAGGACTTGATCCCACAACTCTGGGATCATGACCTGAGTTGAAATCAAGAGTTGTATGCCTAACCAACTGAGCTACCCCGGTGCCCCTAAATAAACTATTTGTTAAAAAGAGTGTTCATTGAAAAACAAATGATACAGAAAATAAATTAGTGAATTCTCTTTCCTGCCCTGCCTTTAAATCAAATTGTCCAGATTTCTAGGGATAACTGTTAGTAAACGCTTCTGTTCAAGCGTATGGGTGTCTTAGAATAATAAAAATGAGATCATACTCTGTATTTCCTTTTGTAACTTGAATTTTTTGTGCAAAAATATTTTTTGAAATCTTTTTACATTACTACTTACAAGCCTACCTTATTATTATTTGTTGTGTGGATTTTTATAGCATTAACGTACTATAGCTTCCTTAATCATTCCCAGTTGGACATTTTAGGTTGTCTTCAAAATTTTGCCCAGACATCTCTGAGTATTCATCTTTTCCATCTTAAAAGAATTTTTCTGCAGGTTATTTATATGTTTATAACAGTATCTTTTATTTTCAAAGCGAAAAAAGTTGCCAGTGAAGGAGGAAATGATGATCCAGATGAGTCTCTGGGCAGCAAAATTTCAGATACAGAACAGTCTCAAAAGGATACTCAGACGGTTGAAGAACAACAACAGTCTCAAGCTTTATCAGAACAGGATTCAGAACAGATTGCATTAGAACCAGACCTAAATCAAAAGAAAAGAAGAAGAAAGAATCAGGATGAAGTTGGTAAACAGGACGTTGAGAATCTTTCAGGAAATGCCACTGTTCAATTAGATCATTCTAAAGGAGAAAAATACATAAGTAAGTTTCTTACGTATATTAATAGTCCCTAAGTAACTTGAGAAGACAGGTACTGTCATATAATGTATATAATTTAAATACTCCTGAGTAGCAGCAATTAATAACACTTAAATTCTACAGACTGCCCAGGAAATTTGGGCTGATCTTCAAAACACAGTTAAAATTTACACAGTTGTGAGTTGACTTAAATTTTCATTAATGTTCTAAAATTAAGATCTCTGCCTTATAAATTGGAAATTGAATGTGGAATGGATTGATGATTTGTAGGAATAGACTGTTTTATGTAAATTCCTGTGTGCTTTAAAAAGTGGATGTTTTCATTTTTAAGAATAACATGCATTTTGTATTCATAGATTTTTTAAGAATGACATGCATTTTATATTCATAGATAAAGATCAGTCTTTAAGGCCTGAAATAAATGAAGAAGAAGGCACTAAGGAACAGAATCTTTCTTGCATACAAAACATAGATGACATTGTGGATTTGTCCTCCAGTGAAAAAGTTGAGAACAGAGCTGATCCTATCCTTTTATCAAGGTATTCTCTATACCTTTACTGACTTTACCTACATCTTCTGTTAGTTACTGAGTGGGGAGTGTGACATCCCCAACTGTAATTACGAATTTGCATTTTGCTCTTTTGAGTTCTGTTTGTTTTTCCTCATGGCTTTTGAAGCTCTTTTAATAGGTGTATGCATATCTAGGATTGTTGTATCTTCTTGGTGAAATTACCCTTTATCATTTGTGAATATCATTCTGATATTGCTCTTTGTCCTGGAGCTTACTTTGCTACAGCTGTCTTTCAGTTAGTGTTTGCATGGGTTTATCATATTTTATAAAGACTTTATTTTTCTTTTTGGTTTTCAACAGTTTGAATATGATATATCCTGCTGAGTTTGTTTCTTTTTAATGTGGTAAAAGGCATGTGAGATGTTCTGTCGTAGCAAGTTGATCGTTTTTTTTTTGGTCTATTCATTTTTGAGAGACAGAGACAGAGAAAGAGGTGTGTGTATGTGGGGGGAGGGGCAGAGAGAGAGAGGGAGACACAGAATCTGAAGCAGGCTCCTGGCTCTGAGCTGTCAGCACAGAGCCTGACATGAGGCTAGAACCCACAAACTGTGAGATCATGACTTGAGTGAAAGATGCTTAATCAACTGAGCCACCTAGGTGCCCCGGTCCTAACAAGGTCCTAACAAGTTTTTAAATTGTAGAGTATTATAAACTGTTAGCACAACGTTTTACATAAGGTCTCTAGAACTTTTCACCTTGTATGACTGATACATTATATTCATTGAATAACAACTCTGTTTCCGTTTTAACCCCAGCCCCTGGCTGTCATCCTTTGACTTTCTGTTTCTGTGAGTTTGGTTTGTTTAGATACATCATATAAGTGGAATCATACATCATTTGTCTTTCTGTGACTGGCATATTTCACCTTGTAATATTTTGAAGTTTAACCTGTGTTGTAGCATGTGACAATATTTCCTTTTTTCTTTATGGTCAAATAATGTTTCAATGTATGCATATATTACATTTTTCTGATTCACTTCTCTCTCCATGACTTAGATTGTTTCTGTCTCTTGGCTATTTTATTTTCTATAAATTATATTATATTTTATTTTTTTGAGAGAGAGAGAAAGTATGCACGTGTGCAGGGGAGGGCCAGAGGGAAGAGAGAGAGAATCTTAAGCAGGCTCCACACCCAGTGCATAGCCTAACGCAGGACTCACTCTTACAACCATGAGATCTTGACCGGAGCAGAAATCAAGAGTTGAACACTTAACTGATTGAGCCACCCAGGATCCCCTCTTTGCTCTTTTAAATACTGCTATAATAAATTTGGGAATGCAGGTAGCTCTTTTAACTCCTGTTTTAATTTCTTCTAGATGAATACCCAGAAGAGGGATTGCTGAATCATAGGATAATTCTATTTAAAAATTGTTTTTAAGATTTTATCTTTCTAAAAGTAGTCTCTATACCCACCTTGGGGCTCAAACTCACTACCAAGAGATCAAGAATCACATGCCCTACTGACTTATGGAGGTGGCCCTCTTTTTAATTTTCTTGAGGAGCCTTCAATTATTGCTCATAGTGGCTGTGCTATTTTACATTCCCACCAACAGTACACAAACATACCAACTTTCCACATCCTCACCAACACTTGCTATTTTCTGTTTTCTTTGTGTTTGATAATGGCTATTCATTCATGTGAGATGATACCTCATTGTGGGTTTGATTTACATTTCCATGATTAGTGATGTTGAGGATATTTACATATATATTTGTTGGCCTTTTGTATGGCTTTGAAGAAATTCTATTCCATTCTTTTTCATATTTTTTAATTAGGTTATTTTCATTGACTTACAGACATTAAAAAAATTTTTTAATGTTTATTTTGAGAGAGAGTATGTTCATATTTGTGCATGTGTGAGCAGGAGAGGAGCAGAGAGAGAGAAAGAGAGAGAGAGAGAGAGAATGAATCCCAGACAGGCTCCACCCTGTCAGTGTGGAACCTGATGTGGGGCTCGATCTCAAAATGGTGAGATCATGACCTAAGTGGAAATCAAAAGTCAAATGCTCAACTGACTGAGCCACCCAGGCACTCCTAGGCGTTCCTATTGTATTTTGTGTACATATATATGTATACATATATGTGTATATATATCTTTATATATATGTGTGTATTTTTTTAACATTTATTTAAATTTAATCAGTTTAATTTTTTTTAACATTTATTTATTTTTGAGAGACGGGGAGAGGCAGATATGAACAGGGGAGGGGCAGAGAGAGAGGGAGGTAGAGAATGTGAAGCAGGCTCCAGGCTCTGAGCTGTTTGCCAGCACAGAGCCCGATGTGGGGCTCGAACTCACAAACCGTGAGATCATGACCTGTGCTGAAGTCGGACATCAACCCCCTGAGCCACCCAGGTGCCCCTGTAATTTGTGTATTAAGCTTATTTCACATAAATGGTTTGCAACTATTTTGTCCTATCCCATAGGTTGTCTTTTGACTTTGTTGATGATTTCCTTTGCCTTGCTGAAGCTTTTTAGTTGAACGTTGTTCCGTTTGTCGGTCTGTGCTAGTTTGTTCATATAGTTCGGAAAGTTCATAGTTTCTTTGAAACTGAGTCATGGGCCTTGAGTTCTTAATTTTCTAGGTGACAGACATCTAAATTGTGGCTTCTGAGATACAATTAATTTCATAAACTACACACAAAAGATACTGATACCTTTTTAGGGTACAGACAACCTGTAATGAATGTTAAGTTCCTAACTGGTTTCGTAAAACAGTGAGCTGATTCTAAAATTATTATATACACATGATCACAGTGTTGTGACTGGTAAAGACAGTTTGAAAAACAACATTTCTGGAGAGGAAATACATTAATTCTTTAAAGCTAGAATAATCATCCTGATGATGAGTGATGTTGAGCATCTTTTCATGTGTCTATTGGACCTCTGGATGTCTTCTTTGGAAAACTGTCTATTCATGTATTCTGTCCATTTCTTCACTGGACCGTTTTTAGGTGTTAAGTTTGGTAAGTTCTTTATAGGTTTTGGATACTAACCCTTTTTCCATTATGTCATTTGTCATGTCTTCTCCCATTCTGTCAGTTGCCTTTTAGTTTTGTTGATCGTTTCCTTTGCAGTGCAGAAGCTTTTTATTTTGATGAGGTCCCAGTAGTTCATTTTCCTTTTTATTTCCCTTGCCTTTAGAGACGTGTCAAAGAAATTGCTGCGGCTGAGGACAAAGAGGTTGTTGCCTGTTTTCTCCTCTAGAGTTTTGATGATATCCTAGCTCACATTTAGGTGCTTCATCCATTTTGAGTTTATTTTTCAGTATGGTATAAGAAAGTGGTCTAGTTTCATTCTTTTGTGTGTTGCTGTTCAGTTCTCCCAGCACCATCTGTTAAAGAGGCTGTCTTTTTTCTGTTGGATACTCTTTCCTGCTTGATGAAAAGATGCTCAACATCACTCATCATCAGGGAAATACAAATTAACACCACACTGCGATATCACCTCACACCGATCAGAGTGGCTAAAATGAACAACTCAGGCAACTACAGATGCTGGTGCGGATGTGGAGAGATTAGAACCCTCTTGCACTGTTGGCGGGAATGCAAACTGTGTAGCCACTCTGGAAAAGAGTGTGGAGGTTTCTCAGAAAATTAAAAATAGAACTACCCTACTACTCAGCAATAACACTACTAGGAATTTACCCAAGGGATACAGGAGTGCTGATTCATACGGGCACATGTACCCCAGTGTTTATTTCAGTGCTTTCAAAAATAGTCAAATTATGGAAAAAGCCCAAATGTCCATTAATTGATGAATGGATAAAGAAGATGTGGTTTTGTATACAATGGAATACTACTTGGCAGTGAGAAAGAATGAGATCCAACCATTTGCAGCAACGTGGATGGAACTGGAGGGTATTATGCTAAGTGAAACAAGTCAGCCAGAGAAAGACAGATACCATATGTTTTCACTCATGTGGAACTTGAGAAACTTAACAGAAGACCATGGGGGAAGTGAAGGGGGAAAAGTAGTTACAAATAGAGAGGGAGGGAGGCAAATCATAAGAGACTCTTAAAAACAGAGAACAAACTGAGGGTTGATGAGGGGTGGCAGAGAGGGGAAAATGGGTGACGGGCATTGAGGAGGGCACTTGTTGGGATGAGCACTGGGTGTTGTATGTAAGGGATGAATCACAGGAATCTACCCCCAAAACCAAGAACACATTGTATACAATGTATGTTAGCCAACGTGACAATAAGTTGTACTAAAAAATAATAAAGCTGGAATAATTAAAGCAATATGTTACTGGCACAGGGACAAATGGACTCAGCAGAACTGAATAGGAATCTGATACCTGGTAGAGGTAACATTAGAAATTAGTGGGTGAAGAGTGAATGAACTATCTTCGTTAGATGGTGCTTGAATGTGAAAAAGATGATGTCCTTATTTCACCTTATATGCTAACTTTCTGATAGATTAAAGGCTACATGTATAAAGGAAATCTTTAAAACTTTTAGAACAAGGTGTCAGAAAATATCTTTGTGATGTCAAGCATTTCTTATGATATAAAAAGCAAAACTTTAAAAGATAAAATTGATAAATTTGACTTACAGTCAACTTATCTGTTTCTTTTAACAAAAAGTTTCATAAAGAAAGTGAAAGGCAAGATGCTGTTGGGGAGGTTTTATGTGTGGCTAACCAGAAAGGACTATATAAAGAGGTCTTGCTGAGTGGTTGGGAAAAGACAAACACCCAGTAGAAAAAATGGGGGAAAGATGTCTGGCTAATTGCCTCATGTGTTGAAACTGGGTGCTAGTTAGTACATGGCTCTCATTTACTTAATTGTTAGTTGAAATATTTCATAATACGGCAGTCCTCTCTTTGCATAATGCAGTGTTAACTGCAGGTTACGCATATTGGAACTGTGTCCTCGGATTTACAAAACTTTTGGTTAGCCGAGTACCATGCAAAGCAAGGCCTACCTGTGTAAAATTTTAATGAGAGAAAATTCCTCAATTTTACTATGATTTTTACATATAGATTTGATTTGTCAACCCCATGTATGTTGTTAGGAGTTTTTAATTTTGTGCTTCTCAAGTGGTTTCCCAGTCCTCTTAATTCGTAGTTACTACTTTCTCTGAAGGTATAGTTTTTAACAACAGCGTACAAAGAGGATCAGAGAAAAGCTGAAATATTATACTGATATTCCAAGCTATGAAGTATCATTTTCTAACGTGGTTTCATATATTTAAAACAAATCTTTTAAGTAGCTGTTATAAAACATGTATTTCTAGAAATTATTTTTCTCCTGATGTGTTTTCATTTGCTTAGTGGTCAACAAGATGCCACGCCATTAGCTACTGAGACGTCCGAATCAAGCCCTTCAGATTTGCCTTTCTCAGAAGTTGAAGTTAGCACACCACATGAGGTCAATGATGCTGAAAGTAGTTGTACAGAGGAAAGCAATGTTGACCTAAAGAATAAACCATTGTAAGTATTTTACATGGTAAGATTTTAAAATTTAGTTTCAATATTTTCATGAGTTCTTATTTAAGAAATTATAATATTGTTTTCTTTAAGGATTAGAAGGGGACTGTAGACCTGGGTGGCTTAGTCGGTTAAGCGTCCGACTTTCGCTTAGGTCATGATCTCGCGGTTCGTGGGTTCGGGCCCCGCATTGGGGTCTGTGCTGACTGCCAGCTTAAAGCCTGGAGCCTGTTTCAGTCTGTGACTCCCTCTCTCTCTGACCCTCCCCTGTTTACGCTATCTCTCTCTCTCTCTCTCTCTCCTAGAAATAAATAAAACATTAAAAAAAAAAAAAGGATTAGAAGGGGACTGTAGACCATTTAATATATAATTGTACTGTGGCCTAAATATGACGTCAAGGCTTATCGCTTTACATTTCATTACAGAAAGATTCTCTTTTTTAAAAAAATTTTTTTGATGTTTTTTATTTATTTCTGAGACAGAGAGTGTGAGTGAGGAAGGGCCAGAGAGAGGGAGATAGAGGATTCGAACCTGGCTCTGTGCTGACAGCACTGAACCCAGTATGGAGCTCAGACATACCAACTGTGAGATCATGACCTGAGTTGAAGTTGGATGCTCAAATGACTGAGCCAGTTAAAGTTAACTTGGCACCCTACTCTTTTATTTGTTTATTAAAAAAATTTTTTTAATGTTTTATTTATTTTTGAGAGAGAGAGACACAGCACGAGCAGGGGAGGGACAGAGAGGGAGGGAAACAGAATCCAAAGACAGGCTCCAGACTCTGAGCTAGCTGTCAGTGCAGAGCCCGATGTGGGGCTCGAACTCGTGAACCATGAGATCATGGCCTGAGCCAAAGTCAGACGCCCAATTGACTGAGCCACCCAGGTGCCCCTGTTTGTTTATTTATTTATGTAGAGAAAGGATGAGTGCACAAGGGGCAGAGAGAGAATCCCAGCCTGGCTCTGCTTTGTTTGCACAGAGCCTGATGTGGGGCTCGATTTCATAAACTCTGAGATCATGGCCTGAGCTGAGATCAGGAGTTGGACACTTAAATGACTGAGCAACCCAGGCGCCCCTCTTTATTTATTTATTTTTTTAAGGTTTATTTATTTTGGAAGAGAGAGAGTGCACAGTGCCTGACCATGGGCTCAATCTTAACAACTGTGAGTGAAATCTGGAGTCAGATGCTTAACCTACTGAGCCACCCAGTTGCCTCAGAAAGATTGTTGTTCATATCTGATTTATAGTAGTGATAGGAGCTTTATGCAAAGTGGTGACTTATGATGAAATTCTAAAATAATTTGGAATTCTAAAAATTTGCTCGAGATACTACCTTTACTTGGTTTGAGTCATTCTTCAAAGTAGTAGATTTTTCATATTGATGACTTTAAGGATATTATGTTTCCTAGTATGCAAATACTGATAATATCTCCACTAAAAAAGAAATAAAAGCACCACAAAAATCTCCTTTTGAAGAAAACTATCTCAAAAATTCAAGCTTCCTTTTTGTGTCCCTTCTAACACCTCATATAGGCTTAAATGCTTTTTAGTTTATGAATTCTTATTTATTTTCAGTAAAACATAGTCGCACTGTGAATTAAGCTGTTTTTAAAGAAAGATTTAGTCTTTGGAATAGGCAAACTATCCTTTCTATGTTTATTTTTTATTTATTTTGAGAGAGAGAGAGGGAGAGTGCTTGCAGGAGAGGAGCAGAGAGAGAGGAGAAAGAGAATTCTAAGTAAGCTCCATGCTCAGTGCAGAGCCTGATGTGGAGCTTGATCCCACAAACCATGAGATCATGACCTGAGTCAAAATCATGAGTCAGATGTTTAATTGATTGAGCCTCCCAGGTGCCCCATAGGCAACATATTTTTAAAGTTAAAACATCCAGAAGTATAAGAAGATAATGGAGTGAAATATTCTTCCTACCATGTCCACATTCACTGTAAGTAATCTATGTAATTTGTATTTGATACTCTTTCAGACATTTAAAGAAAGTACTTTATTTCTTTAAAATGTTTATTTATTTTGAGAGAGCAAGCGAACATGCAGGGAGGGGCAGAGAGAGAGAGGGAGAGAGAGAGAATCCCAAGCAGGCTCCGAGCCATAAGTATAGGGCCCAGCACAGGGCTGGAACTCACAAACTGGGAGATCATGGCCTAAACTGAAATTAAGAGCCAGATGCTCAACTGACTGAGGCACCCAGGTGGCCCTGAAAAATATTTTAAAGCTAATACAAATATATATTCTTTATATTTTTTTACTCCTTTTTTTTTTTTTTTTTTTTTTTTAAATTAGAGTATGAGCAGGGTAGTGGCAGAAAGAGAGAGAGAGAATCCTAAGCAGGCTCCACATTGTCAGCATGGAGCCTGAACCCACAAATTGTGAGATCATGAGCTGAAACCAAGAGTTGGAAGCTTAACCAACTGAGCTACCCAGGCTCACCTGTATTTATTTACTCTTAAAATCCTAATAATAGCATATATACCCACTCCATTTTGCAACTTTTTGGTCTTATATCTCCATATGTTTACTTAAAGATCTTCATTACTATTGTTTGTTTAAAGTTTATTTGTTTTTTGAAAGACAGTGCGCACATGCATAAGTGGGGCGTGGGGGCAGAGAGAGAGGGATAGAGAGGATCCGATGCAGCCTCTGCGATGTCAGCTCAGAGCCCAGAGTACGGCTCGAAGTCACGAACAGGATTCTGACCTGAGCTGAAATCAAGAGTCAGACCCTTAACCAATTCAGCCACCCAGGTGCCCATCTTCCTTAGTTTTGAATAGCTGGGAAGTGTTTTGGTATACAGGTGAATTATAGTTTATATGATCAGAGCTGAACTGATGGCTGTATGGGTTGTTTATTCAAATGGTGCCTAAAATCTTAAACCTCTATCCTTTCACCTGTATGCAAGTACAGTGGACCCTTGAACAACACAGTGGTTAGGGACACTGACCCTGTCCAGTTGAAAATCCATATATAACTTTGACTCCCTCAGAACTTAACTACTTATAGTCTGCTGTTGACTGGAAGCACAATAATAGTTGACTAACACATATTTTGTGTGTTAAATGTATTCTATACTGTATTCTTACAGTTAAAGTAAGCTAGAGAAAGAAAATGCTTCAAGAGAATCATAAGGATGAGGGGTACCCCTTGATTTCAGCTCAGGTCATGATCTCATGGTTCATGAGTTTGAACCCCCTGTTGGGCTCCATGGTAACACTGCAGAGTCTGCTTGAAATTCTCTCTCCCTCTGTCTCTGCTCCTCCCCTGCTCGTGCTCTCATTCTCTCAATAAAATAAATAAACTTGAAAGGGGTGCCTGGGTGGGTCAGTTGGTTGGGCATCCAACCTCGGCTCAGGTCATGATCTCCACGGTTCATGGAGATCCTTCTCTTTCTTTGCCTCTCCTCCACTTGCACTCTTTCTCTCTCTCAAAAATAAACCCAAAAAATTTTTTTTAAAAATCATAAGGTTGAATCTTATGATTTTAAAAATCATAAGGATGAATCTGTATAATTCCTCTTAGATTCTCTGATTCTTAATGTTAATTTGTGCTTGCTTGCTCATGCGTGCATACTTTCTCTCCCCCCACCTTTAATTTGTATTTTTCTTAAAACCTATTTTTATTTTGTCTTTCTTTAAAGTTTATATAGTTTGTCCATTTTTTAATTTTAATTTTTTAAATATTTGTTTTGGGGGGAGCACAAGCAGGGAAGGGGCAGAGAGAGGATCCAAGGGGGGGTGGGCTCTGCACTGACAGCCGCGAGCCCTACGTGGGGCTCGAACTCGTGAACTGTGAGATCATGACCTGAGCTGAAGTCAGACACTCAGCCAACTGAGTCACTCAGTTGTTCTTGTCCATTTTTTAATGAGTTATTGATGACACTGTTTTGTAGGAGCTTTTTGTATCTTAGGGATATTAGTCCTACTGTATGATTTGTAAAACATGCTTTCTTGGTTGGTAGTTTGACTTCTGACTTCACCATGTTTTGGCCATGTAGAAATTTCTTGATTTTTATTTTGTCAAATTTCTTTGTTTTTTTTTTTCTTTTATAGCTCCTGAATTTTTAGTTAAATTTTTTTTTAATATTTTTATTTATTTCTAGGAGAGAGAGAGAGAGAGAGAGAGAGAGAGACAGCGTGAGCAGGGGAGGGTCAGAGAGAGAGGGAGACACAGACTCTGAAACAGGCTCCAGGCTCTGAGCTGGCAGTCAGCACAGAGCCCGACGCGGGGCTCGAACCCACGAACCGCGAGATCATGACCTAAGTAAAGTCGGATGCTCAACCGACTAAGCCACCCAGGCTCCCCAATTTTTAGTTAAATTTTATAAAGGCTTATCCCACCTCAAGGTTATAAAGAATTCATCTGTGTTTTCTGTATGGCTTTATTTAACACTGATCGATTTGGAATATATTATGAGTACGTGCAGGGAGTGGAACTAATTTTATTTTAGTCCCCAGTGTTAGGTTTGACATCACCATTACTTTGATATTATTTCTTCTCTTCCTCCTCCTCCTCAACTGGGCTCAAGTGAGCAAGGGCCAGAGAGAGAGGGGGAGTGAGAGCGAATCCCATGGAGGGCAGAGAGAGGAAGAGGGAGAGAAGTGAGGCTCACCCAATATGGGGCTTGAGCTTACGAATTGTGAGACCATGACTTGAGCCGAAGTCAGATGCTTAACCGACTGAGCCACCCAGGTGTCCCACTTTGATATTATTTCTAACAATAAGTTATTTTGTATTTCATTTTCACTGTTTTGAAATGCTACCTTTATTATATACTATTATCATGTGTTCTGGAGTCCCTTCTCAATTTTCTTTTGTGTTTTATTTATCTGTTTGTTTATATGTCATTACCAGTGTTTTAATTATTGACGCTGAGTAGTTTGTCTTTAACATCTGATAGAATAAGTGAGTTACCTCTTCATTGCTCTTCTTTGCCACTCTTACTATAAGTAAGCTTAACAGACTTTTCTGGCTGAGTGGATTTTTAAAGAATTTTTCAGAATTTTATTGACTATGCCTGGTTGTTGGTATAATTTAAATAATGTTCATCTTTTTAAAAATAAAAACTACGTAATGGTCATTTTTTAAGGGAAATCGATCGATCAGGAAGTGCTAAACTGATGTCAAGAAGACAGCTGCAGAGACCTAAACCCAATTTGTCAAGGGCAATTGGGAAGAAATCTGTTCTTGCACAAGGTAAAACAGATGCAGAGAGCACGAGTTCAAATGCCGAAACTTCAGTGGAAAAGGTATGGAGTAAGAGACTTCATGGAAATTAAAATTATGAAAATTTCTCCGGGTTGGGAAAAAAATGGTTTCAGTTTGTAATGACGCAGTAATGTGACTGATACTAGAACAAAAATACAAAGACTTACACGTTAATATTAAATGCGTTTTCCTAATCTCCTACTGTTGCATTTTCTTTAGAAGCTAGGGCGTATCATTTTCATTAGTGATAAATCTGTCTTTTGTTTATTTACATAAAACTTTCATTCGAAGTATTTTTTAAGCAGTTCTGTATAAAATTATATCCACAACTCTTTCCCCACAGACATATTCCTCTTTCATAAACTTTGTCTCTCTTTTTATATGTATAAACGTTGCTGTATATATATATATTTTAAAGTTTGATTTATGTATTTTGAGAGAGGTGGAGACAGGGTGAACGGGGGAGGGGCAGAGAGAGAGAGGGAGAATCCTTGCATGCAGGCTCTGCACTGTCAGCACAGGGCCCAATGCAGCGCTTGAACTGTAGAGACTGAGATCATGACCTGAGCTGAAATTACGAGTCGGACGCTTAACCAACTGAGCCACCTGGGCACCCCTAAACAGAGGGTTTTTTTTAAAATGTTTTTTAAAAAATTTATTTATTTTGAGAGAGAGAGAGAGAGAGAGAAAGCAAAAGTAGGGGAGAGCAGAGAGAGAGGAAGAGAAAGAGAACCCCAAGCGCGCTGTGCATTGACATGGGGCTCGAACTCATGAACTCTGAGATCATGACCTGAGCCTAAATCAAGAGTCCGACACTTATCTGACTGAGTCACCCAGGTGCCCAACATTTCTCTAGTTTTAATCATAACATACATAATATTTAAAACTTTATTCTCTGAAACTGTTCATTAACAATTTTCTTGGGGTCAATCTTTTTAGTAGCGGCATTAAGTTAACCTATTAGTAGTTTACTATGCATTTTTTTAATGGTTGACATTTAAATTGCTTCCATTTTTTTAAACTTTCATAAATAAAAGCAAACAATTTTATAAATAGGACTTTCTTTTTTTGTTTTTATAAGTAGGCTCCATGCCCAGCGTGGAGCCCAGTATGGTGCTTGAACTCATAACCCGGAGATCAAGACCTGAGCTGAGATTAGGAGTTGGGACGCTTAGCCAACTGGGCCACCCAGGTGACCCGTAAATAGGACTCTATAAAGAAATAGAAGATAATTTTCTAGAGGAGGTGGGATTAATGGGTCAAAGTATTTTAAACTTTTGTCAAATGACAGTAAAAGAAAGAAAAAGAATCTGTATACATTGTTCTAAGCATTAAATGCATGTTCCTTTTCTCATCCCTGCCATCATTATCTTGTTATAAATTTCTTGTATTTGCTAAAATACATTTTGAAATGTCAGTCAGAGGTGCCTGGGTGGCTCAGTTGGTTAAGCTTCCAGCTTCGGCTCAGGTCATGATCTCACGGTTCATGGGTTCAAGCCCCGCGTCAGGCTCTGTGCTGACAGCTAGCTCAGTGCCTGTAGCCTGTTTCAGATTCTCTGTCTCCCTCTCTCTGACCCTCCCCTGCTCACGCTGTCTTTCTCTCTCTCTCTCTCTCTCTCTCTCTCTCTCTCAGAAATAAATAAAACATTAAAAAAAGTTTTTGAAATGTCAGCATTTTTCCCTGTCATGTGAAATATCTTTTTTATTATACTTTTTATTTTTATTTATTTATTTTTTAATTTTTAAATTTTTAAAATTCTACTTTTTAGAATACAGATTATATTTTTATAATCTTTTAAAATATGAGAAAAGTGGGAAAAACAGATTCAGGTAAAAATTAAATTACTTGTGATTTCATTATCCTGATGGAACTAACCTTTTAGCGTATATCCTTCCACCTTTTCTTCCTTCCTTCCTTCCTTTCCTTCTGAGAGAGAGTATGCACGTGCACATGCACGTGTGTTAACAGGGGAGGGACAGAGAGAGGGAGAAAGAGCATCCCAAGCACACAGGGCTTGGTCCCATAAAGCATGAGATTGTGACCTGAGGTGAAATTAAGACTTAAGATGCTTAAAAGACTGAGCCAACCCAGGTGCGCCGTGTGTTAGAATTAATTGTTTTTTATCCTTTGGAACCTAATATTTCATAAATAAATTTTCTTTTATTAGATGTCTTTTGAAGATATGGTCTTCAGTGACTTCATAATTATCTATCAATGGTTACAACTGAATTTATTTAACCATTTACTCATTATTGGATATTTTTTCTGTGTATGGTGTTTGGCATTTTTATATAATGTTCTTGTGAACGTTCTTATAATTTGTGTAAATATTTTCTTAAAATAGAGTTTTAGAAATGGTATTACCAAGTCGAAGACTATGAACATTTTTAAGGCCCTTGATTTCATACTGGGAAAAGGCTCTGTCACTAATACATGGAAATAGATATTTTATAATAATCTTAGCTGTGTCTATGTTTTTTAAAACTCTTATAATTAGAAGAATAAACAATGATATTTCACTGTTTTAATGTCCATTAATTACAATGTTTGGAGTTTTTTTTATGTTGCCAATAAAATGTAAAAAAATTGAATTCATAGAATCAAATGGAAAAGGATAAACTGAATACATCTGACATTGCTGGAATGGAGAAAACAGAGAAAGTGAACCCAGAAGCTGAGACTGTGTCTAAGTGAGTATTTAGGAAGTAGAATAAAATTAGTAGCTTATAGGAGTGACTGTAATAACATCTGTACTGTATAATGTCTGAATTTTATTTTCATTTATTATGCTTAAGTCTTCTTAATTATAGGTGTGTTAAAACATTTTAATAGTGTTCTTTGTGCTACTGGAGAAATAAATTATGATAAAGATCCATTGAGTTAGCAATTACATTTCTTCCTCAGCTTATTAACAAGATTTTAACCAAGTCTTGATAGATGAATTAATGGTTAATATGCATGTTTCTCGATAATTTTATTTATAGCAGGAGGTTTCAAAGGAGAATATTTAACTTGGAATGAAGATTCAGAGTAGGCCTTGCTCCAATATGCATCTGAAGGATTATATTCTGGACTGTACATTTATGCCATAATCTGTATCCAGTGCCCTGGAAGTGTACATTACATACAAACTAGTGTTTTGTTGTTGTTGTTTATTTTTGAGAGAGAGAGAGAGTGCACACTTCTGTGTGTGTGAGCTGGGGAGGGCCAGAGAGAGAGGGTAAGAACCCCAAGCAGGATCCACACTGTTAGTGCTTAGCTCATGTGGGACTCAATCCTACAAAGTGTGGTATTACTACCTGAGGTGAAATTAAGAGTTGAACATGTAACCTACTGACCATCCAGGAGTCCCTACAAATTAGTATTCTTAGTGGGGAATTACATGTCTGTCAGGTGTAGATTTTTCCAGTTTTATGATGACATGTTTTTTATAGTCAGGCTTCCAAGATTATGTCTGTTCTAAAGCGTTAAGGAGTGTCTTTGAGGATGTTCTCAAGGATACTTGTAATTATTTTATATTCCAGATGGTTTACTTATTTATACCTGGGAGAAGGGAATACTGAAAACAAATATGTGACTTCAGAATAGCCATAATTTTATTCTTTTGTAGTTGTTCTAGTTTGAGTGAAAAAATTGGTGTTCAGGATGACGATCAAACAAAGACTTTAAGACCAGCACGACTAATGAGGGGCCGACTGCAAAGGCCAAAGCCAAATATCGGTAAAGCTGCTGAAAGAAAAGAAATTTTTACATCACAGGAAAAAATTGGGGCCAATGTAAAGAAGAATGAAAGTGAATCCTGTATTGCTAGAGATGTAAGTACTCAGATTCTTTGCAATTTTTTTGTTAAACAAGTTTTTAAGCCTCCCCCTGCCAAATCATAAGACTATACAGTTGGATACATTCTTTATTAAATTAAAGTCAAAATCTCAGAGCTAGCAACTTTGTTACATGTAAAGCCTTATTTAATTTTCCGCAATCCAGATTTTGAGCATTTACGTAATGGAGCATATTTGACTTGCCTCCCCCCATCACTCAGGTGTTTGAATTGTACTTCCTTTTTGAAAATATGACTAGGTATGTGAATTTTTAACTCTGACTTAAGCAGAGTAAAATATCAAAAGCTTCCTACTAAAATATAATACCAAGAACAAAAAATTATTAATTTTGAGTTATTTATACAGTAACTAGTTTTTGTGATGAGTGTAAGAGTTAAGATCCTAGTTTGAGATTTGAATTTCTTTTGTTATAAATCTCAAGGTCTGTACTGTAATAATAATAATCAGGACATCGATCCCAAGGAGTAATTCTAACAAAGGAGACTGAATTGCAGTAACTTGCTTTCTAATTAAGAGGAAAAGAATGGGGGCTTTGAGATGAGCTAGAAGGTGTAGCTTATGAAGGTTTTTAAGCTATCTAAAGAAAAAAACATTAAAAACTGTCCCTTTAATATCATTTTATAATTTTGAAATGTTTACCATTCTCCTTGTACTCAAATCAGACAAAATTTTCAGTGCAGTTTTTCTTAGGTAGGTGTTACATTGTGAACCCTTTAAAATATTTTGTTATTAAGAGTCCTGAACAGGTAGAAGATCAGTCATGTAAAAATTTTGAGTTTGAAGACATCACATCACAGCCTGAGAAAGAAGATAATATTTTTCAAATGAATGTTAATGAATGTCTAGGGTAAGTATCATCTTACTGGTTATGGAATCTTTGAATTTTTTTAAAAAAAGTTTTAGAAATGTTTAATCAGTTTTTAAAAACAAAAGCAAATGAGACTGATTTGTAATCTGTGTATCAAATTGCTTAATATTTACAAATATAACCTTTCATGACAATTCATGTCATAGTTTTCATGTCATTTTCTTAGTTATTGGTGATTTGATGAATTGTTTACTCATAAATTAGAGTTAACATGATTGGCAGTATCACTTAACATGCATATTACATTAAAAATGTATGTCCAAATATGAAATGGAACTTATTTTCTTATATTTGTTTCTTTGGGATTAGACTGAGCCACATATAGCCTCATGGGTTTTATGTAAAACCCATATGTAGAAGCCTATAATTCTCCTAGCCACTGCTTTTTTTCCCTTCTGGAAGGTACCAAGCAAAATCAATGAAATTGCTAGTATACTTTAGAAAATGTTTTCCCTTTGGAAATATTCAATGTACACAAAAGTAGTAAGAACAGATTAATGGACTCCCATGTATCTACTATCTAGTTTCAACTATTACTAGTATTTTATCAATCTGTATGTTTAAAGTGTGACCTTTCCCTGTATTTGTTCATATGATACTTGCATGTAGCTGTATGAGAAGCTGGTCAGATCTGGCCATATAAATGTGTTGCTTAACTCTTATGGCAAGGCATATATCTGTATAAAGGATAGTAGGGGCAAAGAGGTAGGAATAGCAGACACCAGTTTTCCTAGATCCAGTGTAGGGAACTGGAGACTCTGGATGGTGTAGATAACAATTAGAAAGAGACTGTTCAGGGCCAGTTGGCTCCTCATCTTATTGACCTTATTGATAGATTCTCTGTATCTCTATATGAGTAGATATATTTATTTTAAAAATGTATAATTTCAAAACACGGTTTTTCCTCCTCCTTTAATTTTTAAGTTTTACCCAGAGATTCTTCTTTAATATTTTATTTTATTTTTTTTAATTTGAGAACTCCTGGTGTTTCAGTAGTACTTTCTCAGCCATCCTCTCTTCAGTTGGCAGTATGGTTTAAATTTTGATTTTGTGTCCTTTTTTTTTAAGTATTCAAGAGAATGATAAAGTCCCAGTTTTGAAGACTCGATTTCAGATACCAAAGCCAAATATAGAAAGAGGAGCTAGAAGAAGAGAAGTTTTCTCAAAGGAAGAGACATCAGAGGAGATTGATGCCTCTGGACAATTCACACCAGCTTTGGGAGAAATTAGGAGAGTGGAAGAAACCTTACCAAGGGACAAGATATCAGTGGAGGCTAATAATACTAAGGAAACGGAGCCATATTTTAAAAAAACTCGGAGAAAAGAAGTCTCTCCGATAGAGAAGATATCAGAAACGATTGACAGCACTGTAGAAATGGAGACAGATTTGAAAGAAACCAGAGGAGAGGTTTCCCCAAGGGAGAATATATCAGAGATGGCTGATGTCACTGAGGAAAGAGAGACAGACTTGGAAGAAACTGGAAGAGAGGTTTCCCTAAGGGAGACTATATCAGCAGTATCTGATGTCGCTGAGGAAAGAATGACAGACTTGGAAGAAACTGGAAGAGAGGTTTCCCCAAGAGACAGTGTATCAGAGATGACCGATGTCACTGAGGAAAGAGTGACTGATTTGGAAGAACCTGGGAGAGAGGTTTCCCTAAGGGACACTGTATCAGAGGTGTCTAATGTCACTGAGGAAAGAATGACAGATTTGGAAGAAACTGGAAGAAGAGAAATATCCCTACAGGAAGATGCCCCAGAGGAGGTCAACAATACAGATGAAGTAGGAATAGGTTTGGAAGAAAATGGAAGAGAGATTTATGTAAAGGATAATATACCAAAGGTGATTGATGCCACTAAGGAGAGAGAGACCTATGTGGAAGAAACTGAGGGAAGAGAAATAGACACACATGGAAAGCCCTTACAGGTCAAGACTCTAGGTGAAATGGAGACAGATTGTAAAGAAACTGGAAAAGAAACTTCCCTGAGGGAAAAGGTACCAGTGGAGATCAGTGCCTTAGGGGAAAGTAAGATTGATTTGAAAGAAACTGGAGAAAGAGAGCTTTCCCTGATGGAAAACATATTAGAAAAGACAACTGCTCTTGAAGAAACAGAGGCAGATTTGAAAGAAACTGGACGAGAAATTTCCTTGAGGAAAAGCAGATCAGGAATTAGTGCTACTGAGGAAATGGTTGCAGATTTGGAAAAACCTGGAGAAATGGACATTTCTCTAAGGGAACATGGAGCAGAGGAGATCAGGACCTCAAGACAAACGGAGACAGATTTAATGCAGAGCAGTAGTGGTGGCTGCAGCACTGTGCCTTCACTGGATATCAACGTATGTATTTTTCTGTTCTTTAGAAAAAATTTTTGAGTACTGTTTCAGAGAAAAATTATCACAATAAAAACTGTGATTATTGCTCTTAAATCCTTCAAAATGTAAACTCTCTGAAAGCTTAAAGTCTTCCCTACTCCTAAATTCTGTTTTAGAACCTTAAAGAAACTATATATCTTAAAAAAAAAATAACTTGAAAAAGATTTAATTGTGGAGAAGTTACCATTCTTACCGTCAATTAGAAGGTACTTTTAGTTTTTATAAAAAAATGTTTTTAAGGTAATTTATTTTGAGAGAGAGGCTAGTTTTTTATTTATTTTTTTGTTTTTTTTTTAAGTATGGAAGCTCAACTATAAGACGAAGATTTTTTTTAAAGCTTTACAAAAAAACAAAATATAGCAAAAACTCCTTTTGCATTCCATAAAAATTAACAGAAAAGCACCTGTCCAGAGTAGCTGGTCCGCAGGCCCCACACCTGCACTTCCCCTATGTGGTCTTGTAGGACAGGGGCCAGTCTGTGCAGGACAACGCTGAGAGCCACTCACTTTCTCCCAGAGCTGTCCCCTGTCCCACCCAGCCCCAACCCCAAGCAACTCCCAAACACACATGGACTCAGATTTAGTTTTTCTTCTCTCTTTTACACACCACAGTTAGTTCATAAACTTTTTTTGTTTTACATTTTTTATACCAATGTAACAAAAAGGTGGGAGAGAAGGGGAGGCAGGCAGACTATATTTTATGCCTATAAATGGGGGGAGAGGGGCAGACAGGGCCAGGGCAAACAAAAAACACACAGTCTCTGTGTGGAGAGTTTTGATAGCAAAACACGGTGGGAAGTAGGCCTCAGAGTTGGGGAGGGGCAGAGAGAATCCCTAGCAGGCCCTGAGCTGTCAGTGCAGAGTCTGAGTCAGGCTCAATCCCCCAAACCTTGAGATCATCACCTGAGGCGCAATCACAGTCAGATGTTTAACCACCTGAGCTACTCAGGTGCCCCGCAGTTATTCTTTTATTTAAAAAAGTTTTTTTTTATGCTTTTATTTTATATTTGAGAGAGAGGGGGGGATAGAGCAGGAACAGGGGAGGGGCAGAGAGATGAGGGCAGAATCTGAAGGACACTGCAGGCTCTGAGCTGTTAGCACAGAGCCTGACACAGGGTTCGAACTGATAAGCAGTGAGATCATGACCTGAGCCAAAGTCAGACGCTTAACTGGCTGGGCCACCAGGCACCCCTGATGTTATTCTTTTACATAAAAGGAATATAGGGAATTGGACTGAATTTATGCTAACTCTAGAATGAATATACATTGGAATTATTTCTTTGGCCACACCTTTCTCAGTTTTTATTTCCTGACCTAGTCTACTTTAAAAATTTCCTTCTATTGGGGCGCCTGGGTGGCTTAGTTAAGCGTCCGACTTTTGCTTAGGTCATGATCTTGCGGTTCGTGGGTTCAAGCCCCGCGTCGGGCTCTGTGCTGACTGCCAGCTCAGAGCCTGGAGCCTGTTTCAGTCTGTGACTCCCTCTCTCTCTGACCCTCCCCTGCTCACGCTGTCTCTCTCTCTCTCTCCTAGAAATAAATAAAACATTAAAAAATTTAAAAAAAAATAAAAATAAAAAATAAAAAATAAAAATTTCCTTCTATTAAAAGTTTGTAGTTGGGATACCCATCTGGCTCAGTTGGTTGAGTGTGCAACTCTTGATCTTGGGGTTCTGAGTTTGAGCCCCAGATTGTAGGTGTAGAGGTCACTTAAACCTTTAAAAATAATAAGTTTCCTGTTACTTGAGGTTCATGTTTTTGTGACATTTTCTGCTCGTGTTGATTTACCATGGATGATTTCCTTTGATCATTCCTCCAGAACATTGGCAGTGAAGTACTTTCCATGGTCCACACCCCTGAGGAAGAAAAAAGAAATTCTGAAAAGGAACTATCAGGTCACTTGGGTAGTTCGAAGACTTCCTTGCAGACTTTGGAACCTGATAAAACAGAAGACCAGGGGATGCAATCTCCAGATGTTTCAGAGCAGTTTTCAGATACTAATTTAAGGTACAAATGTATTGGTCTGTGTGCTTTTAAAGAAAAAGTTTCTAAATTTCTAAAGAATTTTCAGATTCTGTGAAACAAAGGTTTTAAAACATATCATCTGGGGGCGCCTGGGTGGCTCAGTCGGTTAAGCAGCCAACTTCAGCTCAAGTCATGATCTCATGGTTTGTAGGTTCGAGCCCCGCATCGGTCTCTGTGCTGACAGCTTGCTCAGAGCCTGGAGCCTGTTTCGGATTCTGTATCTTCCTCTCTCTCTGACCTCCACTGCTCACGCTGTCTCTCTCTCTCTCTCTCTCAGAAATAAATAAAACATTAAAAAAATTTAAGAAAACCCCATATCATCGGTAGTGTAGTGTTACAGATTTTAAGCTAGTTTTGGGATGACTGGAGGTGAATTTTGAGGTGATAGTGATAGTAGATTTAGAGAATTACTAACATCAGAATCGTACGAACAAATATTCCTAAGTCAGTAGGGGTGTGGCAGCCTACCTGTGTTTCTTCTGTACCAAGATGGCATTCATAGGCTTTTTAAAAAAAAATTTTTTTTAATGTTTTATTTCTTTTGTGTGTGTGTGTGTGTGTGTGACTAAAATACCCCTTTATTATTATTATTTTTTTTACAAATAGTTTATTGTCAAATTAGTTTCCACATAACACTCAGTGCTCATCCCCACAAGTGTCCTCCTCCATGCCCATCCCCCCCTCCCCCCCACATCCATCAGTCCTCAGTTTTTGTCAGCATTNATTACAAAATCAAGGTTTTTTTTGTTTTTGTTTTTTACAAATAGTTTATTGTCAAATTAGTTTCCACATAACACTCAGTACTCATCCCCACAAGTGTCCTCCTCCATGCCCATCCCCCCTCCCCCCCCACATCCATCAGTCACCAGTTTTTGTCAGCATTCAAGAGTCTCTCATGGTTTGCCTCTCTCTCTTTCCCCCACCATTTCCCCCCTTCTTCTCCCCCTTGTTCCTCCGTCAAGTTCCTCCTAATCCTCCTATACGTGCAAACATATGGTATTAAATGTTTTATTTCTGAGAGAGAGACAGCATGAGCAGGGGAGGGTCAGAGAGAGAGGGAGATACAGAATCTGAAGCAGGTTCCAGGCTGTGAGCTAGCTGTCAGCACAGAGCCCGACGTGGGGTCTGAACCCATGAACCGTGAGATCATGACCTGAGTGGAAGTCAGATGCTTAACCGACTAAGCCACCCAGGCACCCTGTATTCATAGGCTTATACCTAGACTGTACGCCTCCTATTTTTCAAGATCTACCAAATAGTTCTATTTGTGTTCCTGTTAAGAACTGGAATTAATTTTACTGCCAGTTTCTAAAGTTGTCCTAAGACTCTGCTCTCATTGCCCCTTCACTTCATTCTAAAGTTTGATAATCCTTATTCCAAAAGGCAATCTCTTCCTCAAGAACAGAAGCCATTTGAAGTTAAGCCAGCACCCTATGTGAGAAGTCGATTCAAAAGACCAAAACCAAACTTAGCAAGAGCAACTTTAAAGAGAGAGACTACAGAAGCAGGAAAATCTCTACCTGGGAAGAAATTGGAAACGGATAAAGCTGAGACTGTTATGTCACAGCAGAGCAGTGAACAGATGAACACTCTCCCTTCTCAACATGTGAGTGCTGTGTAAGGTGGAGGGGTTTTGTTTTAGCTGTTACAGTTACTGAAGTAAAGCAACTGGGATTAACATTTCACAAATATTTTTCCCTGCAATTTCTGTTGCATGTGATATTAGCCTTGCTGTACTTAATATGCCTCATTATTGCATGGGTTTTTTTGTGAGAATCTGGAGTTTGTCATGATGGGCAAGTGTGTCATGGAAAGGAATTTAAGGGGATTGGGCTCCCAAGTTCTGACCTTCATTCATTATATGACCATAGCCAAATTATGCAGCTCATTTCTTCATAGGAAAAATGAGATTGATAGTCATTCCTTATTTCATTCTCTTGTGAAGGGTGAAATACAAAGTTAAAAGCTTGTTAGGGGTTAAAGGAGATACTTAATTTACCTTGTTAACTTGGTCCATAACAAAGTAAGATTATGTGATATAACATCAGAAACTTTGCAATGAAATGTCAACACTCATTAGTTGAGTGTTCCAAACATAAAAGTACTTTTTTTGGCCATACAGATGGCAACAGGTACATGAAAAGATCATCACCATCACTGATCATCAAGAAAATGCAAATCAAAACCACAATGAGGTATCACCTCATACCAGTCAGAATAACTAGTATCAAAAAGACCAGAAATAACAAACATTGGCAAGGATATGGAGGGAAAGGAACCCTTGTACACTGTTGGTGGGAATGTAAATTGGTACAGCTAGTGTGGAAAACAGTCTGGAGGTTCCTCAAAAAATAAAAATCGAATTACCATGTGATTCACTAATTCTAGTAGTGGTTATTTACCCAAAGAAAATGAAAGCTCTAATTCCAAAAGGTACATGCACCCGTGTGTTTTTCATGGCATTATTTACAATAGACAAGATATGAAAGCAACCAAAGTATCCATCAATAGATGAATGGATAAAGAAGATATGTTATATATATAAATCCACAATGGAATATTACTTGCCATTTACAATAACATGGGTGGACCTACAAGTCCATTTTGCCAGGTGAAATACCATGCTAAGAGAACTAAGTCAGACAGAGAAAGACAAATACCATATAGTTTCACTTATATGTGGATTCTAGAAAACAGAAACAGACTCATAAAGACAGAACAAACTCTGGTGGCTGCCAAAAGAGAAGGAGTTAGGGAGATCGGTGACATAGGAAAAGAGGATTAAGAGGTACAAACTTTCTGGGGCACCTGGCTGGCTCAGTTGGTAGACCATGTGACTCTTGAGGCTGTAAGTTTGAACCCCACGGTGGGTGTGGAGCTTACGTAAAATGTTTTAAGAGGTACACTTTCAGTCATAAGTGGGTCACAGAGATAAAAAGTACAGCATAAGGAATATAGTTAATGTAGTGACTACACCTGTCCGGGTGAATGTCGAGCAGTGTATGGAGTTGTTGAGTCACTGTGTTGTACATTTAAGACTAGTAACATTGTACATCACCTATACTTCAATAATTAATAAAAAAAAAACCAGCTGATAAAAAAAAATAAAATGACTAGTGTGCCTAGGTGGCTCGGTCGGTTAAGCGGCTGAAGCTGTGTGCTGACATCTCAGAGCCTGGGCCTACTTTGGATTCTGTGTCTCCCTCTCTCTCTGTTCTGCTCCCATGCATGCTCTGTCTCTCTTTCTCAAAAACAAACAAACATTAAAAGAAAAAAAAGAGTAAAATAAAATGACAAAAAGTGCTTTTTTGAATTAAAATTCTTTTATCTTTTAAAATAGCTTAGTTCTTACTGTGTTTAAGAATTTGTACTTTTTCTTCCTGATCTTATATTTTTAAAAGGTGTATCTTTTTTATTGATTATTTTATCTGATTATAAAAATTTCAAATTGAGAAGATATGTAATCTAAAAACTGAGAGTCCTTTATAATATTCCATTTCTCCCAAGTTAATCAGGTAGCTGTTTTGAATACATCCAACTAGTCTTTGCTATATAGATACTTATACAAATAATCAAATGTGTGGGTATTTTCATTGTTTGCAAAAATGGCATTAGCTAGCCTTCTCATTTTTTCACTTAACGCAGTATTGTAAACATATTTTTGGATCTCAGTTTAGAAATTTATCTTCTAAATGGCTCTTTACTGTTGCATTTTAAACAAATTGTAATTTATTTATTCAATACCCTACTGATAGACTTGTCTTATTTCCAGTTATTTGTTTTCTTGCTTTTCTGGGGGGGGCTCTTAAATTGCTATAGTAAATGTCCTTGTACATAATTTTCTAGGTACTTACTTGAATATTTTTATACGTTTTTAGAAGTACAATTTCTGGGAATTAAAATTTTTGGTAGATAGTGTTTTCTCTGCAGAAACTTGACCAATTTATTTTGTTTAGTAGTGTATGGAAGTTCATATTTCCCTATACTTTTACCATGTCCTTGATGAAATTTTTTTTGTCTGCCTTCTAGGATGTTGCTTCCCTAATCACATCAGGAGAAAAAGACAAATCAGGTTACAGGCAGGAGGAGGTTGTGATGTTACCATGTATACAGGCTGAAAAAGACCTTTCATCCTCAAGTTCTTATGGTCCTCAAGAGGAGTCTCAGCCTGTGCAAGCCCAGGAAAAGGAATTCGTTGTTTCTATGGGGTAAACAGTGATAGTTCTTTGAGTATCTAAAATATTAAAAAGAAAAAAAATCTAAAATAGAATTCCTTCACATATTTCTCCATTATTATTGAGATGTTAATGTATTTTCAAAGTGAATACCAAGAATACTTGGTTTATTTTTCTTCATTTGGCAGACTGCCTAAAATAGAAAATCACATTGAATTCTACACCTTTTAGTGCTTGACTGCTTATTATATTCACTATTAGCCGCTTAAGGTTTTATACAAAGCATTATATTAAAAAGCACATGTGTATAAGGTTTATATTAATTATCTTCTTAAAAACTGTGGTAGAAGACTTACAGCATTTACCATTTTAATCATTTTTTAAATCATCTAATGACATTAAGAACATTCACGTTGTTTTATAATCTTTGTCACATCTCTCTCTAGAACTTTTTCATGTTCCCGTGATGAAACTCTCTACCCATTAGCAAGAACTCTCCATCCCCCCTCTTCCATTCCCTGGCAACTATCATTGTACTTTCTCTGTCTGTGAGTTTCAGTCTTCTGGGTACCTTATATAAGTTCATTACCTTGTGAGAATTAAAATAACTTTTTTTAATAAAAGAAGATGTAAGTATCAGAAAGTAATTAGATTTTTGTCTAATGTTACAAAAAGTTTTATAGTGTATTAGAGGAGATTCAAATTTTGTATTTTTACAGTAGTTTTCATCTTTTTACAGTTCACTTCCCTCTTTGTCCCTGTCTTTTTCTAGGGCTAATGATATAAACACCTTCCAGCAAGAAACGAAGGAAAGTGTCATCCCAACTGGTAGAACAGCAAGGGGCCGACTTCAAAGACCCAGACCAAACATAAGAAAGACTGGACAGAGGCACATAGACAAAGGTGAAGCCAAAGGCGTAATTGAGGAAGAAAGAACAGTAGTACAGAAAGATGAGACTAAAAAACTCTTGACTGTGGTGAGTTATTGTTATGTAATTAAACTGAACTTTTTAATGAGTATTAAAATATAAAATGACAGCTCAGGTTTGACTTAGAGTATAGGCATCTGACACTCTAATCAGTGAATATGTAACATATACTTAGTACTGTTCCAGCTTTCCTATTCTGGATTTTTTTTAAGTGAAAATGGATATATATTTTTTCCTAATAAATGAACCTGTTCATTGTGAAAATGTTCAACCAGTATAAAAGAACATAATGACTATTGCAGTCTTATCACCCGGACGTAACCACTGAAAATCTTCTGACATATCCCCCTGGGTATATCTCCATGCATGTGTGTATATTTACATAAATATAAATAATAAATCATCAGTGTGCCTAGCTCGCTCAGTTGGTAGAGATTGTGACTCTTGATCAGGGGATGTAAGTTCTAGCTCCACAGTGGTTGTAGAGATTACTTAAAAATAAAATAAAAGGTTTTTTAATAATAAAATCACTGTGTATGTGCTGTTTTTGTGACTTACTTTTTACTTAATATGTTGACTTTTTGTGTCAAGAAATATGGAGATACATTGTTTTTCACTACTGTGTGACATCCTGCTGTTGGAATTAAAGTTTAACCATTCTTTTATTGACGAATGTTTTGCTATGAATCTAAGTAGTGTAATGCCCTTTTCTAACAGAGCTTGCGTTTTGTGGGGTTTTTTTGTTTTTTTGTTTTTGTCCTTTTTTTTCTCGGTCTACTAAGGGAAAGTCTTGATTTAAAGTGATAATAATCCTTGTTTGAACCTCCCTGCATCCCTAAAGACTGTTGTTGTTGTTGTTTTTTAAAAAACCATTAAATCTTTTTTGGCGAGGGTGTTCACAACAGATAACTATTGTAGTTTTTAAAGTATTTTGTAAATATAACAAAATTGAAACTTTGTCTCTGAATTAGGCACTTTGGTTTTGGGCAGCAAAACATGAACATTGCATACCTAGTTTGATCTTCTGTTTGAAAAACTCAGTACCTTTCTTAATGATTGAACAATTTTAGGAGGTATGTTCACTTGTTTAAAAAAGCCCTCTTGTTTTGCCATTTTAGCCAAATTTTCCAGTTGGAACTGAAGTTGAAGATGTTTCAACTTCAAAGTTGAACCCTCCAAAGTTTCAACCCTCCAAAGTTTCTGAGGGTAGAATGTATGAAAACCAGAGTCCCGTGATTCTTGTAGACCCTCTTCACATTAACAAAATAAATGTTACAGATGAAAAGATGAGGTGAGTTTGCTTTTAATCAGAAAAGCATAAAACTTTGTAAAGATGAAGATTGGATAACTTCACATGGAGAAAATTTTGTGAAAGGCTAAAATAATAGTTAATTATAAAATAGAATATTTTAAATATGCTTTTTCAGATAGTATAAGAATTGCATGCTTGATACTCTCTTAATTTATAATTTCTCCATTTTGGTGAACTTCATTATTTTTTATTTTAAAACTAGATTTATTAGTACACAGAAATTCTTAAGTTTTTTGTATATTTGGAAGTTTATATACTACTTACTGAAATTCATAAATAGGAAGCACAGTGAAGTATATATGCTGTATTTAGAACTATGTTCTAAGCCAAATGGTAAGAATATCTTTTAAAAGAGTTAGCACTAGAAAGGTGAAGATATTTCAGTACCACTACTTTTTATTTATTACTTGCAGTCTGCCTTATTATTACTGATACTACTTTTTGATTAGTGATGATCAGAGAATGTGTTATTGCAAGGGTAATGCTGAAGAGAAGACTCAAAAGAAGTGAAAGAGCAGGTCCAGAGGATGTCTTGGGGGAGAGGGAACAGCAACTTGAAAATACTTCAGGCAAGAGTGTGCCTGGCTTGTTTGAGGAACAGCAAGGGGAGCCATTTTGAAATGGGTAAAGAGGGAGAGAGTAGTGATGTAAGAAAGATAAAGCACAATCGGGGGAATGGCAGATTATGGACTGTTTTAAGGAATTTGATTTTTACTCAAAGCGAAACTTTAAACACTAGTGACCTTAAAGATCAGTGTTTCCTTTTTTTTTTTTTTTTTTAATATTTTATTTATTTCTCAGAGAGAGAGACAGCGTGAGCAGGAGAGGGTCAGAGAGAGAGGGAGACACAGAATCCGAAACAGGCTCCAGGCTCTGAGCTAGCTGTCAGCATAGAGCCCGACTCAGGGCTCGAACCCACAAACCATGGGACCATGACCTGAGCCGAAGTTGGATGCTCAACCGACTGAGCCACCCAGGCGCCCCAAGATCAGTGTTTCCAAATGCTCTCATTTATAATTGACTTGGTAGACCTAGAAGATATAAATGGCTTGTTCAAAGTAACATTGCCAAATCAGTTTTTAAAGTTAAATTTTCAGGATTTATGACTTTCAGACGAGCAAATTCCTATAGGTATATAGGCAGACCTTTCTGTATAAAGAAAGAAGCTTTACATGTTTCAAAAGATAGTATGCTGAGCCTTTGTGTTTTTTAATGAGCGAAGTCAAACTTTTAATTTTCATTTTTGGAAACCCACACTCTAGCCCACAGCCCCCTGTTTTTGAAAAACCTTTTTCTATTTATGAAATTTATTCCAGCTGTTCACTTTATCATGAATGGTAATTTCTTTAGAGCATATAATCTTAAAGGTTTAAAGTTATTATCTCTTTTGGGGAGCCTCAATGGCTCAGTTGGTTAAGCATCTGGCATCGGCTCAGGTCATGATCTCATGGTTTGTGAGTTCAAGCCCCACACTGGACTCTGTGCTGAGAGCTGGGAGCCTGGAGCCTGTTTCGGATTCTGTGTCTTTCTTTCTCTCTCTGCCCCTCTCCCACTTGTGCTCTGTCTCTGTTTCTCAAACATTAGCATGTTAGCACTGTCTCTCTTGAGTAGCATGTTAGGTTTATATATGTATTTTATTCTTACTTGTCTTTATAAAATCACACTTGACTGTCAATAGCTTAAGGTTAAATACAGTGTTTTCCTGAATACATTAGTCTACTTTGGAATGTATTTAGCCAGCATTATAACCCTGTTAGAATATCTTGTGAACTTCCTAGATGTTTCACTGCCCAAAGAGCTTAGTGGGGTTGGAGCATTTAGAAATGTATCTAACTACTTTTTCTTCTAGGTAATTTATTATAAATATTACTCAAAATTAGTCTTTAATACAGATCTTTCAGAGAACTCCTGATAGATACTTAGTTTTCTTTTTAAATCCAGGTTTATGTTAATTTTAAACTTCCCAGTTCAGAATAGATCCTTACTAGTTATTAAAATATTTTCCAGGAAAACCTAAGATAGCTCTTTAGGGGTTGTCTTGGGAGCTATACGTACTCTACTGAATGTTAAAACCTTGTCTTTTTCTGATTTGGCAGATAACACAGGGTTATATTGAGATCCTATGAGTCTGGCTCTCAGTAAATCTTTTTCCATGAGCTGATAGACCTGTGATGGGAGAATAGACTCTGCCTTTCAAGGCTGGTCTTAAACCAGAAGCACCAAGGAAAGAACCATTATACATTTGTCCATGTTCAAGTACTGGCTTTTTTTTTTTTTTTTGTATTTGGTTATTTCTCTGAAAATTACTTAAAGTACCATGACACTACACATTAGAATCAATGAATGAAAGTTAAAAAACATTGTCATTGTAAAACTGTTCTCCAGATTATACAGAAAATGCAAGTTGTAAAAGTTTTTGTGTTCTTTACATCGTGTGTGGTTTCATTTTACATGCTTGCTTTTAAAACCAATTTACATATAGTTCTTTGAGCATAGAATTGGCTTGTGTTCAAAATTATTTGACATAGAAACCATTATATCAACAAGGAGTTCTGATATTGGTTTTTCAACATGATTTGTACTTCATTCTAGACATGAACCTAAAAGGTATGTTCCTAGTCCAGCACAGTTGATAAGAAGGCAATTCCAAAAAGTGAAGCCGAATTTGGGAAGAGCACATGGTAAGAAGGAGAACCCAGGTACAGAAAAAGACAGAGCTGATCAGAGTGAGGCAAGAAAGTTGGAAGATACTTTGCTGCAGCCAAGAGATCATGATACCCAGCTTCTTCAGAAAGTAAGTTTGAAAGAGATTCTTTTTATCAGTCACTCTATTTTGACAAGATCATGAAGGAGAGAATTTATTAAAAAAATACAATTTTGTCTTTTGTACTGTAACTAATTTTGTAAAAATTGAGCTATTTTCCAATGTTAAAAAATTAAGAAGCTAGTCATAAGTTGTGTGTTTATCTGTGCAAGCTTAGAGCTTTAGGCCCAGCCACCAAACAAATTATCATAGAGATTGTTTCCATGGTAACATCAGCTGTTTCTTCTTAAATTTAAGGAAAAGGCTGAGTTTCTGACATGTCTGGAGGTTTCAGCAAAAAAAGATTATGTAGATACCAAAGAGGCTATTTTGGCCAAAAAAGATGCCCATTCAGAAATTGGACCATCAGGAATTGTTGGAGAAAAAACTGTACCCGATAATTCTATGTCTTCAATTGTTGAAGAGCAGTGCCTCAGTAAACTAACAAGGTAACGTTTTATTTAACAATATAGCTTCAGAATAGGAAATTAAAATAACTCTTTATGGTTGTCCTACCTTTAACTCATCGGTACAGTAAAAATAGATGGTTTGTTAACAGAAGTGTGGATTATATTTTATTGACAGATCTGTTTCTTTCCCACTTAAAAAGAGTTGTTTTTTTTGAAACTTTTTTTTTTTTGACGTTTATTTTTGGGACAGAGAGAGACAGAGCATGAGTGGGGGAGAGGCAGAGAGAGGAAGACACAGAATCTGAAGCAGGCTCCAGGCTCTGAGCTGTCAGCACAGAGCCTGATGTGGGGCTCAAACCCACAAACTGAGATCGTGACCTGAGCCAAAGTCGGAAGGTTAACCGACTGAGCCACCCACGTGCCCCTTTTTGAAACTTTATAAAGAGTGAGTGCACACACAAGCAGGGTAGAGGGTCAGAAGGAGAGAATCTTAAGCAGACTCCACACTCAGCATGGATCCTGATGTGGGCCTTGATCCGATGACCATCAGCCAAAATCAAGAGTTGGATGCTCACCTGTCTGAGCCACCTGGGTGTCCCTACTTAAAATTTTTATTTACTAAAGTTTCTTTTTTTGATGTCCTTAGGAAGATTTTTCTTTCCTGTGTTTAAAATTTCTGGATGTTGAGTATATTAAACATGAGCAGAAGCCTGATAAAAGAGTAGTGTGTGTTACCTAAATAATTAAGGTGCTGGTTTGAATGGGGTCACAAACAAAAGTGAAGGGTACTTTTGTTCTACAGTTTTCAAGGAAAGTGGAAAGGAATTTAAGTTTTAAAAAACAACATTGTTCCATTGGATTTTCTGCCTTCTCTTTTTCTTCTTATGTAGTCTGTTTACCCAACAGGATACACCAGTATCACTTTTGATCCTGTATTCTGTTTTGTTGGACCATTTTCCTTATCTCATTTTTTTCTAGTAATTTCTAGTTTTGCATTTCATTTTCTCTTAAATAGCAAGGAAAAAATGATCCAGAATTAAAAACTTATTCTGAAAAATTTGTAGGTAGATAAATAAGAATGAACTCTGAATAAGGAACTAGTAGTAAATTTCTTCATTTCACAGCATAAGTTTTTGACATAAAGGGTTGTGGGAGTTTTCATTTTAATGCCTTGAACTGGGATTTCATTCTGAAATTTGGTTTTCATTAAAATTATCCTTGTGCAGGGGCATCTGGGTGGCTCAGTCAGTTAAGCGTCCACCTTCGGCTCAGGTCATGAGCTCGTAGTTTGTGGGTTCAAGCCTCGTGTCGGGCTCTGTGCTGACAGCTAGCTCAGAGCCTAGAGCCTATCTTCAGATTCTGTGTCCCTCTGACCCTCCCTTGCTCATGCTGTCTCTGTCTCTCTTTCTCAAAAATAAATAAAACATTAAGAAAAATTATCCTTGGGCATGTAATGACTTATTGTTGTTCTGATTATAAATCCAGCCCTGCACAACTGTTAAAAGAATCAAATTACTCTAAAATTGCTCTCGACCGAAGGACAACTATCCCTTCTGCTTCTGAGTGTGAGGTGGATCATGGTGGGAGGAAAATGCATCGAAAGGTGAAACCACATGTCACCAGAGGGCGTGGATCAAAACGAATGCGAAGTAAGACCTCTAGGAAGGAACCTCGTGCGTCCAAGTCCACGCTGGTGACTCTTCGGGCTTCTCAGGAAGAAGATGAGGATGATGCTGAAGATTTTGAGCCTGATTATGAAGAAGAAAGTTACCATCTTGCTCCAGAAGAAGTAAACAAAGCTCCAGTATTTGTTCCCATTGGTCTCAGATCTCCTGAACCTGTTACTTCTCAAATCGAGGAAACGATGGAAGAGGTAGTTTGGGTTTTTTTGAATTTTTGAAACTTTTTTTTTACTCATCTTTTTCTTTTAGTGTATCATTTCTTCTTGGTGATTATTAGAATTTGAACAGTTCATTCTCTAAATAACCTCTGCCATATGTAATTCATTTAAGCCCTGGTAAATACTTGAAGGAATCAGTAGAAGTAGGCTCCTGTATTACTGAACCTCTGCGATCCAGGCCTTGCCATGATATAGTCAGTGTAATAATTGATAGAAATCTGATTTCACTTGTATGTGGAGGTTGCTAAATCTACTTTCTGATTAATTTTTCTTTTTCATTTTGGCAGATGTTTTAACTCTCTGGTAGGCTCAGGCTAAGCTCTGGTTGGTAGAGAAGGTAGAAGGGACACTTCTTTTTTTTCTCTTTTCTTTTTTTAAAAATTGTGGTAAAGGATGCATGGGTGGCTTAATCGGTTAGATATGTGACTCTTGGTTTTGGCCTTAGGTCGTGATCACATAGTCATGAGATTGAGCCCCACATCAAGCTCTGTGTTAGGTATGGGGCCTGCTTGAGATTTGCTCTCTCCTTCCCCCTGTCCCTCCCACTCTGCACTCACTCCCTCTCTCTCTCAAAATAAAAAAATAAAATTATGAAAAAATTGTAAGATATATGTATAAAATTTACCACTTTAGCCATTTTAAAGTGTATATAGTTCACTGGCATTAAGTGTATTCATATTGTTCTGTACCATCACCACCGTCCATCCACAGAGCTTTTTTCGCCATGCAAAACTAAACCTGTACCCATTAAACAGTAATTCCGCATTACCTCCTCCCCTCTCACTCATGGCAAACACCATTCTGTTTTTGTCTCTATGACTTGACTCAAGATGCTTCACATAACTGGAATCATACAGTTGTGACTGGCTTTTTTCATTTAGTATAAAGTTTTTAGAGTTTGATCAGGTTGTACATGTATCAGAATGCTTTTTTTTTTAAAAAGGTTAAAAAATTTTTTTGTTTTTTTGTTTTTTTGTTTTGTTTTGTTTTTTTTAGTTTTTGAGACAGCACAAGCTGGGGAGAGGCAGAGAGAGAGGGAGACAGAGAATCCCAAGCAGGCTCTGCCCTGTCAGTGCAGAGCCTGATGTGGGGCTGGAACTTAAGAAGTAGTGAGATTATTACCTGAGCTGAAGTCGTATGCTCAACTGACTGAGCCACCCAGAGGCCCCCAGAATGTTCTTTTTAAAAGACTGAATGATAATTTCATTAGGTATCTGTACTGCTTTTCAAGTCTTTTTATCTTTCGGTGGACAGTTATGTTACTTCTACCTTTTGGCTATTGCAAAGAATGCTGCTATGCACATGGGTGTACAGATACCTCTTCTAACCTCTGTTCTCAATTCTTTTGGGGATATACCTGGAAGTGGAATCACTGAATTACATGGTAAATTGTACATCGATTTTTACTATTTTGAAAAACTGCCATATTGTTTTCCATAGCAGTTGCATCATTGTACCTTCATGTCAGTAGTGTGCAAGGGTTTTGATTTCTCCACATTCTCACCAGCCCTTCTGATACTTTGTTTTTTGTAGAGTAGCCATCCTAATGGGTAGAAAATGGAGGAACATAATATTTCAAGTTACTTTATTATAAGAGCTTCTAATTTTTTGCCTCCTGATCTAGTGTTCTAACTTTGTAACTTCAAAGTAACTTACTCTGCTTAAAGAGCAGAATACTTGCATCTCTTGTAGTAAGCATTCATGCTAGTTTCTGAGTCATTTGCAACAGAATTAGGAGGTAACTGAGAAACTAGTGATGATAATAATGAAAGGAGGAGGAAACTAACCAATTCAAGTAATGTTGACTCCAGAATTAATGCATTATGAATCTGTGATTTCACATTTATGAATGGAAGTCCACGGCTACCTTTATTTATTTATTGTTAATAATCATATAGTAGATGTTATAAAGTTAATAGGTTAGAATGGTTGGAACTAAATAAATATGATACAAAATGAATTTTCTTATAACGAAAGTTCATAATTGAAGATAGTGAATATAAGTTTAAGTTCAAATGAAGAAAATGCAAAAGGAAAGTTTAATTTTTTGCAAGGACAGCTGGTTAACATTGCATGAGAATTCATTGAGCTATTTGTTTTGTATTTTGCAGATTTTATTGGTTGAAAGGCACATTGCTAGTGCAGGACTTATCCGAAAATAATTTCTGAAGATCAGGTTCCATTACTAAGGCAGAGAAATTTGTTGATGTGTTAGAAAATGTTTCCTTTAAAAAGCATTGAGTTAAAAAAAAAAAAAAAAAAGGCATTGAGTTGGGCGCCTGGGTGGCTTATTCAGTTAAGCCTCTGACTCCTGATTTTGGCTGAGGTCACGATCTCATGGTTTGTGAGATTGAGCCCCATGTTGGGTTCTGCACTAACAGTGTGGAACCTGTTTTGGATTCTCTGTCTCTCCCTCTCTCTCTGCCTCTCCCTGCCTCAAAAAAATAAGCTTAATAAATAAATAAAAAGCATTGAAATACATTGGTACATTATTAATTCATAAAGGGATTTAAAATGTTGGTATATACTATAGTATGTACTTTGAAATCTTGAACCCGTTATAGTAAGTGACCAGGTGCAAAAGAATCGCATGTATATAATCCCATTCATCTGAAATGTCTCAGGAGAAATCTAGAGAGACAGAAAGTAGATTAGTGGTTTGGCTTAGGGATTTGGAGATGAGGGGTTAAGAGAGTGATGACTGATGGATATGGGGTTCTTTTTTTTTTTTTTTTTTAATATTTTCATTTATTTCTAGGAGAGAGAGAGACAGCGTGAGCAGGGGAGGGTCAGAGAGAGAGGGTGACACAGACTCTGAAATAGGCTCCAGGCTCTGAGCCGGCAGTCAGCACAGAGCCCGACGCAGGGCTCGAACCCACGAACCGCGAGATCATGACCTAAGCGAAAGTCGGACGCTTAACCAACTAAGCCACGCAGGCGCCCCGAAACTATAGTGCTTTAAAGAACCAACTTTCAAATACAGTACTTCCATTTGTTATTCATTACCAAATTTTCAGAAAATATTTTGTCTTTTCAAGTCACTTGAACTTTTTCATTCATCCCAGGCCTTTAGATATTAGCAAAGATTTCTCTGTAGTATTTGCATCTGAGAAATTAGACACAGAATGTTACTATAATAATTATATTGAGAAGGCAGATTTTCAGACTCTGTGCTATTTCTGTGAATCATTCTTTTTTATACTCATCTCTGTTAATAAGAGACTGAAAGTCAGACTGTCTTATATACAGTCTAGGAGATAAATCTTAGGCCTTTAGTCCCCAGATTATGGGCATCTTTGACCAAATAGACTTAAAAGAGTGAATGTGAATGAATTCATTCTTTTACATGTCCATTGCCATGGTTATTAAGGTTGTGGGAGAGGGTAGTTGCCTTGATGCAGGGGTGAATGCCTGATAAATCCTTTTATTATTTTTTTAAAAACTTTATTTTTGAGAGAGAGCACAAGCTGGGGAGGGACAGAGAGAGAGAGGGACAGAAGGAGAGAGAGAGGTTGAAAATTCCAAACAGGCTCCACACTGTCAGCGAGAGCCTGATGCGGGGCTTGATCCCACAAACTGTGAGAAAATGACTGGAGCCAAAATCAAGAGTCAGAGGCTTACTCAGCTGAGCCACCCAGATGCCCCAGACGTCTCAAAAATCTTAAATGTTTTCCTTTTGCCAAGTTGATGTTAATCATTTTAAGAATTGCTATATTTGTTTTTTAATTGTGTAGGAATGTGGATTATTTCTTCATTTTAACACTTTATTTTAGTCGTTTTGTTTTGCTGACTGTAGTATGCCAAAATGAAATAATGAAACTTTTCATTTTGACAGCTTGAAATAACCGTGAATGCACCCGATATAGGATGCATAGCTGTTGTTGAGCACCCACTACCCAGCACAGATATGACTACTCAGGAAATGAAACAAGAAGAAAATTTGAAGGCATTATCTATTGTAAGCATCCATTCTAATATGTTTTGTCTTTAACTCTTTGTTTACTTTCAAAAGAAGAGAAGTTTATTTTGAAATCTCTAAGTTTATAAGCCATTCTTACCTATTTCTATCCTGCAGGGAGCTGTAAGTATGAATAGTACAAACTGGTGAATAATCCAAAGACTTTATATTTCACTCAGAAAGCATCGGTTTGTGTGTGTGTGTGTGTGAATCACTCTTAATATCCTCATAAACTTAGTTTAAAGTTCTGTTGCATTAATTCTGTATTAAATATAAATCATTTGAAATATATTTAGTTCCTTTTTGTTTGATACTCTTCCTTGTTTCTGCAAATGAAGACTGGGAATTAATTTATTTATTAAAAACATTTTTTACTGTTTATTTATTTTGAGAGAGAGAGACAGAGACAGAGACAATGTCCTAGCAGAGGAGGACAGAGAGAGAGGCAGAGAGAGCGAATCCCAAGCAGGCTCCACACTATCATGCAGAGCCTGATGCTGGGTTCAGTCTCACAAATCTTGAGATCATGACCTGAGCTGAAATCAAGAGTCAGACACTTACCCAACTGAGCTACCCAAGTGCCCCCACATTTTACCATTTTTTAAATTATTGGTCTATTTGTCATTTTATTATTCAGTTGTAAGAAATTTTTAAATAGTAACCATACAAGTCTTTTATTAGATATATGATTTGCAAATAGTTTCTCCTGTTCCATAAGTTGTGTTTTCAGTTTTTTTAATTTTTAAATTTTAATTAGAGAGCATGAATAGTGGAGAGAGGCAGAGGGAGAGAAAGAAAATTCCAAGCAGGCTCCATGCTCAGTGCGGAGTCCAGTGCAGTGTTGGATCTCACACACAGCCCTGGGATCATGATCTGAGCCGAAATCCAGAGTCAGATGCTCAACTGACTGAGCCACCCATATGCCCCTGTCTTTTCATTTTCTTGATGGTTCCCTTTATGTATAAAAGCTTTAATTGTGATGAAGTTCATTTTATCTATTTTTTCTTTTGTTGCTCATGCTTTTGTTGTAATATTTAAAACGTCTTTGTGAAAGCCAAGATCCTGAAGATTTACTCGTTTTTCTTCTCATAGGTTTATAGAGTTATACTGTAGTTTTACATTAAAGTCTTTAATCCATTTTGAGTTAATTTTTATATATGGTGTGAGGTTAGATAGAGTCCTTCATTCTTTGCACATGACTATACAGTTGTCACACTCTTTGAAAAGACCATTCTTTCCTCATTGAATTATCTTACATTCTTGTCAAAAATCATTTGGCTGTAGATGTGTGGATGTTATTCTGGATTCTCAGTTCTATTCCACTGCATGTCTGTCCTTGTACCAGTGATGCTCGATTGATTACAGTTGCTTTGTGGTACATTTTAGAATTAGGAAGGGCAAGCCATCCTGCTTTATTCTTTTTTTAAGGTTGTTTTGGCTGTTGTGGGTCTCTTGTAATTCCACATGAATTTTAAAATCACTTGGTATTTTCTACTTGACATAATCTAAGATTGTGATTGGGGTTGCATTGAATCTGTGTATCACTTTGGGGGGGCTGGTCCCATTTAAGAGTTTTCCAATTCTTGAACGTGGATATTTGCCCATTTACTTAGATCTTCTCTGATTTCTTTCAACAGCATTTTGTAGTTTGCAGAGTATAAACTCTGCTTCGTTTGTTAAATTTATTTTCAAGTATGTTATATTTGAGGTTGTAAATGGAATGGTTTTCTCAATTTCACTATCAGGTTTTTTTATTGCAAGTGTTTATAGAAATACAATTGATTTTTGTATGTTGGTCTTGTATTTTGCAGCTTTTCTGAACTCATTAGTTCTAATAGATTTTTAGTGGATGCCTTAGGATTTTCTATATAGAAGATCATGACATGTGAATAGAATAGTTTATCTTCTCCCTTCCTGTATTAGTTTCTCAGTGCTGCTATAACAGAATGCCACTGACTATGTGGCTCAAGACTACAGAAAGTTATTTTCGCACAGTTCTGGAGGCTAGGATTCCAAAATCACCACCCCTGCTTCTGACAGCTCTGAGGACCTCCTAATTGCCAGAGGTCCTTGTCGTTGCTTGGCTTGTGGCAGCACATTTCCAACTTCTGCCTCCGTTGCCACAAGGTGCTCTCCCTGTATGTGTGTCCCGATATTTCTTCTTCTTCAATACAAAGACACCTGTTATATTGGATAGGGCCATGTTAGCCTGATTACATCTGAAAAAGCCCTATTTTTTTTCCCAATTTATTTTCCAAATAAAGTTACATGCATGGTACTGGGATTAGGACTTCAACACACCTTTCTCAGGAACAGAATGTGGTTTGCACTTGTCAATTTGGACGTCTTTTGTTTTTGTTGCTTGCCTCGTTGCCCCTGCTAGAACCTCCAGTACATGTTGAACAAAAGTGGCAAGAGTGAATATTTTTGTCTCATTCCTGGTGGGGAAGCATCTTTCACCAGTAAGTTTGATGTTAGCTGTGGATTTTTTCATTGGTGGTTTTTATCAAATTGAAGAAGTTTCAGTCTCTCCCTCGTTTGCGTCAATGAAAAGGTGTTGGCAGTTGTCATATGCTTTTTCTGCATCTATTGAGATGATCACGTGATTTTTTGCTTTGTTTTGTACTGATATGATGTATTACGTTGGTTATAACTTAGGATGATAAATCAAAAATTTTATCCTACTTGGCCATGTCATGCAGTTTTATGTTGCTAAATTTGGCTTGCTGGTATTTTATTGAGGATTTTTTGTGTGCCCATTCATAATAGATAATTCTTCTGTTTTCTATTAAGAATCTGGCTCCAGATTCTTGTGTCAAAAGCTAAAGTCCTGTTCCTCCTAGAAAGAAAGCCTTCCTGGTGGGACTTGCAAGGAAAAAGGGGCCCTATTTTCTTGGCTGCAAAGGTCTGAGGTGGAGTCTCTGGTTCACTGAGCTGGGAAGAAGGAGGAGGGAGAGAGCAGTCTTAGTTGAAATACCACAGGCTCTTACCTTTGTTATCTTTTCATCAGTTTGTTCAAAAAGATGTTTCTACTGGCCTCAGGACCATTTCCAGAGGCTTTAAATGTTTATTTTTAATAAATTTTACCAGTTTCACTGGGGAGAGGGTCAACAGAGTCTTATGATGCCACGCTGGACATAGATCTTGTAACTTTTTTTTTTTTTTTAAGTTTATTTCTTTTGAAAGGGAGAGAGAGAGAGAAATTTGGGGAGAGGTAGAGAGAAGGGGAGACAGAAGCTTCATGTGACAGTGTGGAGCCCAACAAGGGGCTTGAACTCACGAACCATGAGAACATGACCTTAGCAGAAATCAAAGAGTCAGATGCTTAACTGACTGAGCCACTCAGGTGCCCAGATCTTGTAACTTTTTAATTTATTAAAATTCAATTGAGTTTTAAGTCACCTAGTTAAAAAAAATTGGTGATACTCATCAGACTTTAGTTTCCATTGGATTAAAACCAGTGGAAAATATTACTGAAGTTGAAAGATTATGAAAGTGAAGAAGTAAAGTAAGCATAGTAGATGCAATATGATTAGAGTTAAAAGGAAAAAGTAAAATAAGGAACAAGAGACAAAAGAATTTGGCTTTTAAATTATTTCTCTTGATGAGATGTTATGAGTAATTATAAAGGGAAAGCACACTTTCTACTCCTTTGTAATCAGAAGCATAGAAGAACTGTGAAACATAGTACTTTTTGAGACAGAACATATATTTTGGAAAATACATAAGGCATTGCTTATCTTTTCGTCTTCTAGGAAATGACCACAGGTGAACATACACAAGATGAAGCAGGTAACTGTTAACAAGGAAACTGCTGAAACTACTTGGCTAACACTAGCAGGGTGATTTAAAATTTAAAAAAATTTTTTTAATTTAATTTTTTTTAGAGAGAGAGAGAGCCAGCAGAAGAGTGTGCATGTGCAAGTGGGTGAGGGGCAGAGAGAGAGAGGAAGAGAGAATCTTGTTTTGTTTTGTTTTGTTTTTTAAATGTTTATTTATTTATTTTGATAGTATGAGTGAGTGAGGGGCAGAGAGAGAGGGAGAGAGAGAATCCCAAGCAGGTTCCACGCTGTCAGCACAGAACCTGACACGCGACTTGATCTTACGAACTGAGAGATCATGACCTGAGCCAAAATCAAGATTTGGAAGCTGCTTAACTGACTGAACTGCCCAGGTACCCCTAGTATTAGTATTAGTTGGTAAATGAGTCCTTGCTGGTAGTTGAACAAGAAATTTCCACTGTTGAATGTTTTACCTCCAGGAGAAACTTGGATTCTTAGAATAACTACTATATGAACGGAGTTAAGAGTTAAATGTTTAATAAAGAAGTATTATTTCTTCTGATCTGCACAGGTTTATTTTCTTCGAAGGTATTATTTAATGCGAGGGAGGCATTTTCAATGAATAAAAGCTAACAATTAATGATTTTTTTTTTGTAGTAACAAAACACTACCCTAGTAAGGAGTTAGTGGTATGGAGGGTATTGAAACTTGTTACTAGAGGATAAACACCTGAATTAAAATGTTTCTGAGTAAAAAACTTAAATTTTCAGATTCATTTTTCTGTTTTAATGTTGTTGTATTTTCTCACAAGGTACCAATGATGGAAGCACTGAAGCTGCTATAACTTTACTTACAATGGGAGATCTAGTGTTGCAGTCAGAGATTGGTACAGAACAGAATGATGGTAAGAATGAAAGATAAGGCCTACTGAAAAAAAACCTTTTAAAATCCAACTTCTAAGAAATTATACCCACATTTGAGTAATAAGTCAGTACTTTTACACTTGAGGTTGGCATAACTTTGTTGTTTTTCCAGAAACAAGTAATAGGTGTGCATTGATGCACCCACATTAGCCCATTTAGATGTAGTGGCCACTATTTCAAGATAGTACATTTGGTTTATTTAAAAAAAGTTGTATTCCTGGAATAGTCCAGTGAGTCCTCTACCTTTCTCATCATAAACATTGGTTAATTGAGCTCACTGATTACTGATCACTTTATACATGTTTCTTTAGCAGAGGAGCTCCCACTTTGGATAGTCTTCTCATTTACCTGACAATAGAATCAAGGGCCATTGAAATAATTTAGTTTGGACTGTTTGGTTAGTTTGGACTGAGCCAATGTCAACCCAGATTTTTAATATTTTAGGCTGACCTTAATGGAGAAGGTATGGTCTTTACTCTCTAAGTACCTTCTGTTTTAAGTACATTAAATGGATAGTTATGTTAATTATTGTCCTGTGAATTATTTTGTCTGGAAATGAGTGGCTTTCCATTTTTACTATGTATTAATCAGGACCCATAACTATATATTTATCAAGGAATTCTCTTTTCGCTGTTTCTTACATGGCTCATTCTCTCTCTCTTGCACTCTCTTTTTTTCTGAGTAAACTGTACACCCATCGTGGGGCTTGAAATCACAACCCTCAGATCAAGAGTCACATGCTCTACTGACTGAGCCAGCCAGGCACCCCTCTATGGCTCCTTTCTTAGTGACAGAGTATTGCTTTGGAGCCTGTCACAAATCTCTAGAACCTAAAATACAGGCTTTTAAAATTGTGAATGAAGGTGATCCTATCTTGAAACTTAGTTGAGGGTATGTAGTTACCGAAGACAAAAAGATTCATTTTTACTCATAATAGCACAAAAATTTTAGTATATGAGAATTGTTAAGGCTGTAGTTGTTTAATGTTGAAGGATTAATTTTCTTTGGACATCTACTTGTATTGGGTCAATTTTAATTTTCTGTTCTTTTCTGTAATAGGAGTATGTGTACTTCTTGATGTTCATTCAAAGGATAAAAGCTGTGTTCCTTTTAGCCCAGATAATGTAAATCACAAAATTGTTCGTGAATGTCAGGAGCTTTCTTCACCTGTCAGTAGTACATCTCCTTCATCATTAGAAGAAAACAAGATTGTATTGGAAGAGCAAAGTACTGAAGAAGAAATTGGTTTAGTGGAGGAAGTAAAGGAAAATGCTATATCAACCAGGTTTAATTTGCTTTATTTTTTTTTCCTTTTTTTTTTTTCTTTTCTTTTTCTTTTTTTTTAAGTAGGCTTCATGCCCAGTGTGGAGCCCGGTGCAAGGCTTGAACTCATGACCCTGAGATCAAGACCTGAGCTGAGATCAAGAGTTGGACGCTTAACCTTCTGAGCCACCCAGGAGCCCCTATTTTGCTTCATTAAACTTTTGAGTTTTACTGGAAAATAAGGGTGCCTGGGGAGCTCAGTTGGTTGAGCACCTGACTTTAGCTCAGGTCATGATCTCATGGTTTGTGAGTTTAAGTCCCGCATCAGGCTCTCTGCTGTCAGCAGAGAGCCCACTTTGGATCCTCTGTCCCCCATCTCTCTCTGTCCCTCCCCTGCTTGCACTCTCTGTCAAAAATAAACAAACATTCTTAAAATTACTAAGAAATGAATTATAACAGTATTCAATTAATAAATATATTTAAACCAACTATCAATTTATAATAGCTTTTGAGTAATCTTGTGTAATTTGTAAATTTCACTGCTAATTTCTCAGCCTTTAAAGTGAGGATTGGCTGGTTTAATTTTAGTTTAATGGTTTGAATATTTTTATTTATTTATTTATTTTAAGTAGGCTCCACACCCAATGTGGGGCTTGAACTGCACCTGAGATCAAGAGCCACACGCTCTACTGATTGAGCCAGCCAGGTGCTCCTAATGGCTTGCATATTAAAGTTAATGCAGTATGTGCATCTTTGAAGCTTTAATGAGATAGTTTTATGTAAATATATTCTGTTTTACAGACATGATACAGATTCTCTTTCCTTCTCCAGACTTTCAGTAAAGTTACCACCATGTAATTTTAGCATTAAAAAATGAATACTTAACAGAGATTGTGGCACTATATTAGAGTAGTGAAGAAGGTGAGAGAGCTAATTCTAACACAGTTGATGAATTTCTCTCTTCCCATTCTTTCTTTTTCTAGGAATACAACCTCTGAAGTGACCAATAATTTGAGAATGAGAAGTAGATTTGCCAAGCCGAAGCCAAATCTTAAGACTTTAAGGACTAACAGGTTTGGTGTTCATCAGGAAGTTCCCAATTTGTTTGTCAACCAAGGACAAGTAGTAGAAAGTCAAAGAGGTAAGTTTTGTTCCCTTAAACAGCTACAAAATTACTTTTACATGAGAAATTGCATTAACATTTAAAATGGAAAATCCCTTAAACAGCTACAAAATTACTTTTACATGAGAAATTGCATTAACATTTAAAATGGAATATTGTTAAAATTATTTTAATTTACTACTAAAAAGTTTTAAAAAGGAGAATGACCTATGCACATAAATACCAATAAACCCATCAACTAGTTTCGGTAATTATTATCATTTTGCTCTACACTTGACCCTTAATAACATGGGTTTGAACTGCATGGGTCTACTATACGTGGATTTTTTTGATAAACAGTATAATACCATAAATGTATTTTCTCTTCCTTGTGATTTTCTTAATATTATATTCTGGCTTTATTATAAGAATATAGTATGTACTACAGATACAAAATACGTTAATCAACTGTTAATGTTAACAATAAAGCATCTCATCAACAGTAGACAGTTAGGTTTTTTGGAAGTCAGAAATTAATATGTGCATTTTTGACTGCATGGGAGGTTTGTACCCCAAGGGTCAACTGTTATTCCGGGGTCAACTGTATGTATTTGATTCGACTTTTTTGTACGTGTGCACATGGAATATTCAAATATTTTTTGGGAAGATATACATGCATATGACAAAAAATAAGACATTGTCTCTAAGGTATAAAATTTAAAAAACTTCCTCCGTGGTTCCCAGTCCCCCAATCTCACTACTAATGATAAACTGCCATTACATTTGTAGACTTCTGGAAGTGTATTATACACTAAGCATCTAAATGTGGGTCTTATGTGTGTACATATGTGCATCCACGTATGTATATGTGTATATGTATATAAATAACTGCATTCCCTTTAGAAAGAGCAAAAATATTAGCATACTATATTATATCTACTGTTCAGCACTTAGAGAAAAACAGTTTTACTGAGATCATTCTGTATACTACAGTTAAACCATTTCAAAGGTACATAGAGTTCAGTGGTTTTAGTATATTCACCAAGTTAGGTAACCATCAACACTAGCAGACACTCCCATTTCCCCAAGTTCTAGGCAGTCACTAATCTTTTTCTGTCTCTGTAGATTTGCCTATTTTTGATGTTTTGTATGAGTAGAATCACATAAGTGGTCTTTAGTGTCTGATGTCTTTTATTTAGCATGTTGTCAAGGTTCATCTGTGTTGTAGTATGTGTCAAATACTTAATTTCTTTATCTTCTCAAATATTCCATTGTATAGCTATACTACATTTTGTTTTTCCATTCATCTGTTGGGCATTTGTGTTTTCTATTTTTGGCTCTCATAAGTAACGCTACTAAGAACATTCATGTATACGTTTTTGTGGATATATTTTTTCATTTCTCTTGGATATACATCAAGTGGAATTGCTGGATCATATGTTTAACCTTTTGAGAAATTGCCAAACTGTTTCAATAGTGGTAGCAGCATTTTGTAATTTTTTGCTTATTTTAGATTTTTTGCTTTATTTTTAAGTAATCTCTATACCCAACATGAGGCTTGAACTTGTAACTCCTGAGACTTAAGACTCACATGCTCTACTGACTGAGCCAGCCAGGCACCCTAACATTTTGTATTTTCACCAACATTCTTTGAGGGTTTCTTTCTCTCTATTCTCTCAGACCCTTTAATTATTAGATATTTTAGTCAGCATGAAGTAGTATCTCATTATAAGTTTTGATTTGTATTTCCCTGATGACCAGTGATTATCTTTTCATGTGCTTATTTATATATCCTTTTTGGAGACATATCTGTTCAGATCTGTCCTCATTTTTAATTTTTTTAAATGTTTTTTTAAAATTTATTTTTGAGAGAGAGATAGAGACGGCATGAGCAGGGGAGGGTGAGAGAGACAGAGAGACACAGAATCCGAAGACAGGCTCCAGACTCTGAGCTAGCTGTCAGCACAGAGCCCAATGGGGGGCTCGAACCCACGAACCGTGAGATCATGACCTGAGCCTAAGCTGGACGCTCAACTGACTGAGCCACCCACGTGCTCCTGTACTCATTTTTAAGTTGGGATATTTGTTTTTTTAAAATCTTTATTTTTTGAGAAAGAGAGAGAGAGAGAATGCAAGCAGGGGAGGGGCATATATATATATACATATATATATATATAGAAAGAGACAGAGGATCTGAAATAGGCTGTGCTCTGAGAGTGGAGAGCAAGGTGCGGGTCTCGAACTCACAAAATGAGATCATGACCCAAGCCGAAGTCAGATGCTTAACTGACTGAGCCACCCAGGTGCCCCAGGGGATATTTGTCTTTTTATTATTAATAGTTCTTTTTACGGTAACATTCTTTTTAAAGATTAGTATATTGAAAAATATCTGTCTATACGATCACCTCGGGCTCTCTCTTATTTTTTCAATGGCTCACTACTTTGCGATATACATGTTGAATCCTACTCCCACTTCCTTTTCCACCTTCCCTCCCTATGAAGGACCCAACCCCTTCAGGTGCCAGTGAGAGCAGGAAAAGCAGTGCATGTATGTGGTAGGCTGTCTAGATTGTATCAAATCCTATGGGTAGAAGATCTGGATAGTTAGCAACATCTTTTCCCTGTTTGGGGGTTCCTGGTGTTTGGTATTTCCTTTCAACCAGTAATGCTTATGGTTCAGTTAGTTAATTCATTACTTATTCTGGGTTCAGAAATACCCAGAAGCTATTTCAGTATGCAGGGTGAAGTTACCTTATTTATTTTTATTTAAAAAAATTTTAATGTTTTATTTGTTTAAACATTTTTTAAATGTTTATTTTTGAGAGAGGATGTGAGCAGGAGAGGGGCAGAGAGAGAGGGAGACACAGAATCCCAAGCAGGCTCCACCCTATGAGTGCAAAGACTGACATGGGGCTTGAACTTGTGAACTGTGAGATCATGACTTGAGCCGAAGCCAGACGCTTAACTGACTGAGCCACCCAGGCTCTCCTAAAAATTTATTGACTGTGGTTGACACACATACATTAGTTCCAGGTGTGCTACATAGTGATTCAAGTTTGTGCATTGTGCTGTGCTCTCCAGAAGTTTACCTACCATCTCTCACCGTATAGTGCAAGTACAATACCACTGATTATATTCCTTATGCTGTGCCTTCTATTCCCATGATTTATTCATTCCATAATTGGAAGCCTGTATCTCCCACTCCCTTTCACCCACTTTGCCCACCTACCTTCTCCCCTCTGGCGTCAGTTTGTACTGGTATTTATAGGTCTGACTATGCTCTTTGTTTATTCAGTTGCTTCTTTAAGACTCCATAAATGAGCGAAATCGTATGGTGTTTGTCTCTCTCAGTCTGACTTATTTCACTTAGCATAATACCTTCTAGGTCTTTCCATGTTGTCGCAGATGGCCCAGTCTCATCCGTTTAATGGCTGTGTAATTAATATCCCATTGTGTATGTATACCACATCTTCCTTCTCCATTCATGTGTTGATGGGAACTTAGTTTACTTCCATATCTTGGCTATTGTAAACAATGCTGCAGTAAACGTAGAGTTGCTGCACATATCCTTTGAATTAGTGTTTTCATTTTCTTTGTGTGGATACCTGCTAATGAAATTTATTGAATCATATGGTAATTCTAAATTTAATTTTTAGAGGAACGTCCATACTATTTTCCATTGTGCCTGTACCAATTTACATTTCCACTAGTGCACAAAGGTTCCTTTTTCTCTACATCCTCATCAACACTTATTATTTCTTGTCTTTTGGATTTTAGCAATTCTGATAGGTGTAAGGAGATACCTCATTGTGATTTTGATTTGCATTTCCCTGATGATTAGTGGTGTTGAGCATCTTTTCATGTGTCTGTTGTCCATCTGTATGTCTTTGGAAGAATGTCTAGGCAGGTCTGCGCCCCCTTTTTAATCAGGTTGTTCCATTTTTTTTGGTGTTGAGTTGTGTAAGTTCTTTATATATTTTGATTATGAACCCTTTATCAGATATATCTTGTACAAATATTTTCTTATCAGTAGGTTGCCTTTTCTTTCTTTAAAAAAATTTTTTTTTAATGTTTACTTATTTTTGAGAGAGAGAGAGAGAGCACAAGCTGGGGAGGAGCAGAGAGAGGGAGATACAGAATCCAAAGCAGGCTCCAGGCTCTGAGCTGTCAGTACAGAGCCTGACGCAGGGCTCGAACTCAAGAACTGCAAGATCATGACCTGAGCCGAAGTTGGATGAGCTCCCCAGGCGCCCCTAAAGATGTTATTTTTAAGCACCCTCTGTACCCAGAGTGAGACTCAAACTGAAAACTCCCGAGATTGAATTGTATGCTCCACCATGCAACTCACAAACTGTGAGATCATGACCTGAGCTGAAGTTGGATGCTCAACCGAGACACCCAGGTGCTCCAATAGGTTGCCTTTTCATTTTGTTAATGGTTTCTTTTGCTGTGTAAAGTTTTGTTTTGTTTGGATATACTCCCAGTAGGTTTTTTTTTTTTTTTTTTTTTTTGTGCTTTTGTTTCCCTTACCTTAGGAGACATATCTAGAAAACCTTTGGTGTAGCTGATGTCAGAGATTATTGCTTGTGTTTTCTTCTAGGATTTTTATTGTTTTAGGTCTCACATTTATATCTTTAATCCATTTTGATTTTATTTTTGTGTATAGTAGAAAGTGGTCCAGTTTGATTCTTTTGTATGCTGCTGTCCAGTTTTCCCAGTAACATTTATTGAAGAGACTGTCTTTTCCCCATTGTATATTCTTGCCTCCTTTGTCAGAAATTAATTGACCGTATAAATGTGGATTTATTTTTAGACCCTCTATTCCCTTCCATTTTTCTATTTTGTGTATGTGTGGGCCAGACCATACTGTTTTGATTATTACAGCTTTGTAGTATATCTTGAAATCTGGGATTATGTATCTTTGTCTCTTTCTCAGGATTGCTTTGACTATTCACAGTCTTGTGATTCCATAGAAATTTTAGTATTATTTGATCTAGTTTTATGAAAAATGCTGTTGGTATTTTGATAGGGATTTGAATGTAACTCTTATATAGATGCCATTTTCTTCGTTTTGCAACAGCTCCCTCCCCAGGTGGAACTAGACCTCATATGTACCCGCCTCTAAACTTCTTTGGTATATGGGTTTGTAATTATATTGCTGTCATCATAGAGTAGACATAAATTTGCTATGGCAACCACGAGTGAAAAATCTGCAGTGTAGGATACGTTAATCCTCCATTTAAAAAATCTCATTGGCCAGGACTACTCTTGACATAAGCTTCATTTTTGGATTAAGAGAAATTTGGAAGAGTTGCTATATACTGATCTGTATTTGAGAAGAGAACATATTTCTAATGGGGAGGTTTTAGCTGTACTATTTTGGACTGTATCTTAAGTGTGTTTTTTGTTTAAGAAACTGAGAAAAATGGTTCTGAAGCAATGGAGGAATTACAAGATAAAAAATTTGGATCACTTACAACAGCAGTGAATAAGGAGCAGAGCATATTGGCATGTGAAAATGGTATTGAAGAGATGACTATTTCTCAAGAAGCAAACCTAACTGTAAGGTAAGAGAGAGGAGATTGTCGAGTTTTATGTATATTCTTTACCAACTGTAGTCATTACCTCTAAGAATTTGGCAAAAGGGGGTTCTGTTGCATTAAATGTATTTTAAAAATTTGGACACCATTAAATAATCTTAGACTCACTTAGCTCTAAACATTACTTTGTGGTTGACTACTTGGTTTCACATACAAAACTCTAATACATACTCTGAAGCTCTAATATATACTAATTTCTCTTTCAGAAATGATGATCAAGAAGAGGAATCTCAGAAGGTTCAGATATTTTCACTTGATCCAACTGTTTGCTCTGAGACAGAGCCCCATACACTTGGTTCAGATATGGGTCTCAGTGAGAGTCCTATCAAAGAGCCCGAGAGAGAGGATGCTAATGGAGACAGTGTGCTTACACTTCATGTGTCAGAGGTAAAAGAATGTAAAATAGAACATGGGGTGGCTGGGTGTGTATTCCTCACTTAAAAAAAATTAAGGTATAATTTATATAGAATAACCTACACCCTTTTATGGGCACTTGTACAAGTTTTGACAAACATATGTAGCAACACGTGAACAGTTGGCATCATCGTCCAAATTCCCCAGGGCCCTTTTTAGTCACCCCCTTTTGTCACCCTTCTACTTGGCGATCACTGATCTGTTTTCTTTCCCTGTAGTTCTGCCTTTGCAAGAATGTATTGTGATAAAATGTTTATTGAGTGTGTTTTTAGTCTTTGGAACATAGATAAAACAGCAAATATATACCTTTTCCATAAAAGTTTGGAAAAAGGAAGTCTTTTGTATACAGACTATTTACCTCTTGTTTGCTGGCCACTGAATCTGAGAAATACATTGCAGGTGATTTTTTGAGATGTTATTACTATATGTTCAGTGCTGTGTGAGGTATTGGAGAGACAGTTAGGAGACATACAAGCTGTGAGTGAATGCTTAAGCTCTGATGGGTGCTAGGAAAGCAAGTTGCACAAGACTCTTGAAGGAGTGGTCTTCATCCCAGTCCAGTAAAATCAGTATTTGGAAATAGGATGTAGGCATTTGCAAGATTTTGTTTTGTTGTTGTTAAAGGTTCTCAGGTTATTCTAATGTGTAGCCAGGACTGAAAGAGTCCATGTGGATGGCTCAGTTGGTTAAGTGTCCAACTCTTGATTTCAGCTCAGGTCATGATCTCATGGTTTGTGAGTTCAAGCCCCACATTGGGCTTCATGCTGATAGTGCAGAACCTGCTTGGGATTATCTCTCCACACTCCCTCTCAAAACAAATAAATAAACTTTAAAAAAAAAAAAAAAGAATCTTTGATTTAGAAGAACAAGTATGAATTAGCCATTTAAAGGGAGAGGAACATGTATAAAGAACAAGTATGAAACAGCATATCATATTCAGGGACTAAAATTAGTTATGAGTGGAATATAAATGAAGAAGTACTTAGAGTGAGGTAGGCAACCTGGGAGCAGTCACAAAAAGGAATGTTTATGACTTGCTAAGGAGTTTGGACCTTATCCAAAGTTAGGGGGATTTTACCTACCCCCAACATGTTTATTTTTACTTTTTATTTTGAAATAATTTCTTTCTTTTTTTTAATTTTAATTTTTATTATTTATTTATTTCTAGGAGAGAGAGAGACAGCATGAGCATGGGAGGGTCAGAGAGAGAGGGAGATACAGACTCTGAAATAGGCTCCAGGCTCTGAGCTGGCAGTGAGCACAGAGCCCGATGCGGGGCTCGAACCCACGAACCGCGAGATCATGACCTAAGCGAAAGTCGGACGCTTAACCAACTAAGCCACCCAGGCGCCCCACTGAAATAATTTCAAGCTTTTTGAAAAGTTGCAAAGGTCTTACATAGAGTTCTCGTATACTTTTTACTTAGATTCATTAATTATTAACATTTTGCTTCATTTGCTTTCTCTCTGTCTTGCTCTCCATCTTTATAGATAGATATTTTTAAAAACTGAACCATTTGAAAGTTGCAGACAAGAGACTCACGCATAAATACATCAGCTTATATCTGGTATGAACAAGGGTGTTTCTTAATAGAGAAATGATAATACTGTTGTCATACTCCATATTACCATACTAACATTGATTTAATAATAATATGTAGTACATAGTTCCAGTCAAGGCTCTCACATTGCATTTAGTTGTCATTCTCCTTATTTTCTCTCTCTTTCAATGTTTATTTTGAGAGACAGAGCAGGGAAGGGGCAGAGAGAGAGAGGGAGACAGAATTCCAAGTAGGCTTCTTGCTGTCAGTGCACATAGAGCCAAACAAGGGGCTTGATCCCATAAACTCTGAGATCATGACCTGAGCTGAAACTGAGAATTAGAGTACGCTTAACTGACTAAGCCTCCCAGGAGCCCCTCCCCTTATCCTTTTTTGTTTTTTTCAGAGAGAGAGAGACAGAGAGAGAGAGAGAGAGAGAGAGAGGGAATGTACACCTGTGTATGCATGTGCAGGAGGGACAGAGGAAAGGAAGAAAGAGAATCCCAAGCAGTCTCTGCACTGTGAGCGCAGAGTCTGACGCAGGGCTCGATCTTATAACCATGAGATCATGACTTGTGCTGAAATCAAGAGTCAGATGCTTAACTGAGCCACCCAGCTACCCCTCCTTATTCTCTTTTAGTCTAGAGTAGTTCTGCCCTTTTTCCTCTTTTGTGAACTTGACATTCCAGGCTAATTCACAATCTGGATTTTTGTTGTTGTTCCCCATTATTAGAATTCAGGTTAAACATTTTTTGGTATGAAAAAAAAAAAAAAAACCAAAAACATTTTTTGGTATGGTTATTACGTAGGTGATGTTGTGTTCTTCCTTTTGTATCACTTCATTAGACGTGTAATGTCAGTTTGTCCCATTATTGATGATGTTGACTAATTACTTGGCTAGGATGGTGCCTGCCAGACTTCTCCATATAACAGCATCTTTTCCACATTGTGTTAGTTAGTAATTTATCATATGATACCCAGCAGCCTTCTACCTCGTAGTGTTAGTATCGATTGATGCTTTCCTGAATCACTTATTGACATTGTTGGTTACAAAATGTAAGTTTTAAGATTTTAAGCAGGAGAGAATTATAGTAAGAATTGAATTTTAGAGATGGCATTGTTGGCAGTTTTGTGGAAAACAGATTGAACGGAGCCATGTTGGAGGCAAGGAGACATTTTACTTCCATTCAGATGTTAACTACTAATAGTACACTGGGTGCTATAATGGGGAAAGAGAGAAAGTTGAAGGGTTTGAATCTCTCTTTCCTGTTACTTCAAAAATAATTTCATGGAATTCACATACTTAACAATTTAGTTGGAATTCCTTTGTGTATGTATATGTTTATTTATTTATTTTTATATATATGTTTATTTAAAGGAATCAAAAGTTATTGGTACCACTAAAAGTTTCAAAACATTTGGAAAATTAGATAGGGTTAAAAAGTTGAATTTTGAAGAGGATCACTCTTCCTATATCCAATTATCTGGAAAACTTTTTAAAACTAAAATTTGGTTGATCTCATTCTTGCATTTAATTAAATTTCTTTTTCAGTGTACACCAACTAGTATGCCAGAAGTCCAACAAGAGACTGCAGTCAGTTCTCAAGACTTAACAGGTATGATCATCCACTGTGATAAAGTATCATCAAACTGAATAGTATGGCTTTTACTTCCCTACCCCCATTTGACTGTGAAAAAACCAAAACAGGTTTTAAGTCTGCAATGGCCTTTTATTATGAAGTATTTTTTTAATGGTTTATTTATTTTTGAGAGAGAGAGCATGATTGGCGAAGGGCAGAGAGAGAGGAAGACAGAGGATCTGAGGTGGGCTCTGTGCCGACAATAGCTAGTCTGATAAACTATGAGATCATGACCAGAGCTGAAGTCAGATGCTCAACCAACTGAGCTACCCATGTGTCCCAAAAACTTGAAGTATTTTATGTGTACGTTTTTTTAATTCAGAATTATAAATCTCCTCTATAGTGAACCAACCATCTTTATCCTTTATGAAATTATTTTTTATTTTTGTGGATGTAATTTACTTTTTATTCCTGAGTATAAGTTATCTTAGGACTTTTTAGAAATATAATAAATTAATGATTTTCTGTTGTTTCATGGTTCAGCTTTTTATTACTAACTTTTAAACTTTGATAGTGAATCTAGTTGCTAACGTACGTCAAGAAGGTGAGGATGAACAAGCATTCATTTTAACTCTGGTGGAAATCCCAACCAATGCCATAGAAGAATTTACCAATACCACTGCCCAGTTAATGCCAAATCCTTTACTGCCAGCGCCCATATTGATCAAGTCCGTGAATACAGAAGAAAGGAATGACATGAGGTAATGAATGAGTTGAACTATTTTTTTAAAGTTTTTATGTAAATTCCTGTAATTTAACATACAATATAATTTTAGTTTCAGGTGTGTAGTGATTCAACACTTCCGTACATCACCCAGAAGCTAAACTATTTTTGTGGGGAGGAAAGGTGCTTTATTACTTGAATAGTATTAACTGAATAAGCCATTCATCAACATTATTTATATTTGTCCTGAAGATCTTATTTACTAATAATATGATAAGTTAAAGAAGATATCATTGATTTTATATCTGATAAAGCTGCCATATAAATGTGTAATACTTTTGTATGAAACTTGTTTGGTATCTTAAGTATTTTGGAAGCTGAAAAAAATTTAGCAATTTGGGTTATAAAATGCCATCTGTTAAAGATGTGGTTACTTTGTAAGCATATATATTTTAAATTCTGAAATACATAGAAGATGCAAAACTAGTACAGAGAGATGACATTTTGTATATTTTCAATATTATTACTTTAATTCTTTTCTATAGGATTGTTGTATTTTAACAGTCACTCGTTAAGATGCTTAACTGTCAAGTAGCTTTAGGTGTTGAATCCTTTCATATTTAGAAGAGGGATTTTAGGGGCACCTAGGTGGTTCAGTCAGTTAAGCACTGACTCTTGATCTCATCTCAGGTCTTGATCTCAGGGTTGTGAGTTCAAGCCCTGCATTTGGCTCTGTGTTAGACATGAAGCCTACTTAAAAAAAGGAAGAGGATTTTAGTTTGAAATTTTAACTTTACAGACAAAACATTATTTTTGTACCTTAGATTTAATTCAATATTATAGAAATTCTGAGTTTTATAAAGTTGTGAGTTTTTAAGTATGGATAGACCTCAAAATAACATTTTTGTGACCTTGGCCATGTATATTACTTGAAAGTTTTTGGCAGCTGTCATTGGGATAGCTCAGCCTTTAACCTCACTGAGTAACTTCTAATTTGCTGATTTAACATGTATGCATTTCCTATGCAGTATGAGTTTTCCAGTAACTTCAGTTGGTCAGGATGCCATGTGTTTATCTGATTCGGGAAGAGAGGATTCTGAAAAGCCTCCTGCTAATTTGGATCTTATAACTAGGAAGAGATTTCATTGTACGCTTGATGAAAGTGACCATGTTCCTCCTGCCAAAAAAAGTTCACTCACTTCAAGAGATGATTGTCAAAATTATACCTCTGAGGTAAGATAGAATTATCAAGCAAATAAGATGGCCATGTTACAACAGATCCTTTTGTTTCCTTTAAATTCTTTACATAAAGATAGTTTTAATACTTTTCACCATAAATAATCCAGCTAAAACTGGTTTTAGATAATCACTTTCAACCAGTTCTAGGTGAAACTGATTTATCAGGAAACCCATTCCCAGCTCTGAGTCATTGGCTAAAAATAAGGCCAAAAGTATCCTGTAGATCTGGATCCTGGCTCTACTATTTAACAGCTATAGGACCCAAGTCAAGATAGGTCATCTCTGAATGAGTTTCCTATTGTGTAAAATAATCATAGTAATATCATCACTACCAGGATCATAATGCTTAAAGCTGTCCATTGCTCTTAGGAAGAAAACCCAGAGCCTTGAAGGCCCTCTATTTGTCTGGTCCATTTCTGTCTCTGGTCTCACCTTGTGCTGGTCTCTCCCTTACTCTCTAACTATATTGGCCATCTTTCAGGTTCTTGAATGCACCATACTTCCTCAAATCCCAGGGCATTTCTTTCATTATATCTTATGAAACATTGCCTTGCCGGACATACACACTTATTAACTCCATCATTACTACCTCAGGGAAGCCTGAAGACACTATGCAGATTTGATCACCAGCCACTACGTTAAAGGTTTCTTAGCATCTTCTTGTTTTTATTTCTACTAGTCCTCATAATTTATCTCACTATGTAGCTACACTTTGGAAAAGTAAATTTAGAATCTATATTCTCAGTGGGACAGTTGAAGACCAATTGTCCTTAGATGATAGCAGACAACAGAGGCAGTGTATCCTTCTATATCTCATAGGTAGAAGATAGTATCCCAGAAGGGTTTTTGTTTCTCTTATTACAAGTAGGGTTGAACGTCTTTCATATGCTTAGGGACCATTTGTATTCCTTTCGCAGTGAAATGACTCTGTATTCTTTAACCACTTTTCAGTTGCATTGTTGATCTTTTTCCTACAGATTCAGAGGAACTCTGTTATGTATGTCCATGAATGAATTGCAAATATTTTTTCCCACTGTGTCTTTTGACTCTACTTTTTGAGTTTTTTCCCCTTGCAGACTTTTTTGATTGAATTTCTTTCTTTTTTTTTTTTTTTTTTTTTTTTTTAAGATTTTATTTCCTAGTAATCTTTACACCCAACATGGGGCTCAGACTTAACAACCCTGAGATCAAGAGTCACATGTTCTACTGACTGAGCCAATCAGGTGCCCCTGACTTTTTTATATGAAAATCTTCAAGCATTTAAAAAGGTAGACAGGGTAGTATAATGTATCCCCATGTACCAGTCATCCAGTTTCATCAATTTATCATCATTTCTTAGAGACATTGTTTTGTTTTGTTTAAAAGTATATTTAATGCCTTCGGGAAAGGATGGTAGGACACTGCTATGTGCAAAACCAGGCCACCTGTTTATAATATGCCATTTAAAAATGATAGATGTACATTGATGTGACTGTATAAGAACAGTATAATGTCTCTTGGGCTTATTTGTGATTTTTCTTTTTTCTTTCTTTTTTTTGTGATTTTTTATTTGTAAACTTGGTTTTCAGCTTTCAACCAATGAAATTGATTATAAAATGTTCAAGTTATAATTGTAAGTTCTAGAATGCACATATACTGCATTCAGATAGACATGCAAACATTTTTAATTTTTCTGAAATCATGTTTATCAGTCTTTTTATATATGGCTTCTAGGGACTGTGTTACACACTTAGACCTTGAAAGTCTACCTTGAGACTTAATAGAAATTCGTAGAATTAATATAAATGATTTGTTTAGAATTTATTTTGGTGTTAAGAAGAGTGAAACCAACTTCATTTTCCCCAGGTGCCTGCCTAGTTGCCTCAGCACCATTTATTGAATAATACATCTTTTCTCCACTGATTTAAAATTCCACTCTTATTACATATTAAGTCCCATATGTATTTGTGTATATTCCTGTACTTTATTTTCTTTTACTTTTAGATTCACCTATTTATTCTAGGGCGAGTATCCCACTGTTTTATATTACTCTAGTTTTTAAATGCTTTCCTATCTTAAATGAAAGGTTTCTCTCTCCTTTTTTTTTTTTCTTACTGGTTTTTTTTTTTTTTTTTTTTTTTTTTTTTTTTTTTTTT